GCGTCGCTTATTAAGGACAAAAAATCCTGGGTTAGAAATTTTCGCCGGACTGTTTCAAGGGGTATTATATGGACCCAATTGGTAGCTAGCGGGCTAAGACTTGCAGGATACACCTGGACAGAAGACCAATCATTGAGTGCTTCATCCGCTCACCGAACTTTCACCCAATAGTCATGTGGTGACGCGGTTGACAACTATCGATTGGTCGTCGGATTGTCACTTCCGTCGGCCCCACTTTTGTCATTAGATGGTGGCGTTGTCGTTCGCCCGCCAGATTCCACAGCGTGAACAGATGTCCCACGTAAAGCTGTTTGATCATTTGCAGAACTGCTGTGAGCTTCTTAGCCCTATCATAAATATAAAGTCTAACTAGGAATTTTTGGGTAGCGTTACCTCGAGGCCGATACCGTCACTAATGAAGCAAACAGACCTGCCCTGACAGATTATACATCGTAGGCTCAAAACAGGTCAGCCAAGAAGAAAACATTTCAGGTTATCTGGAATTCCCGCTTTATCTTGAGCCTATTTCGGGCCACCACGCCATTGAGCGCTTTCCGAGATTTTCACGCCCAATGTGGAACAAGAGGAATGGTTATTCTTCTTTGGATAGGCAACCCGGTATTATTTCCGATGTTGCTACTTTGTTCCTGACCCCCTCATCACAACACGTACAGCCTTGCAGTCATTACACACACACACACACACAATTTATTAACGCCCGGCGGCTGAACCGAAAGGGCAACTATCACTGATCTAAATATACATGCTCTAGCTAATGCGGTGCCTCCTTGGAGCCCATACAAGATTCGTTTCAGTGTATGTCATCTCAGATATCAATATCTTCGCGGGTCCTTGTGGGTTAGTGTTTAGTTAGTAGACTTGCTTGAAGGCGATTCTCCAAGTGTTCAACATCCTATCCTCGGCAATTGAAGCGCGTCTACCGTCTCTGGCACAAGGTAGTTGGTGGGGGTTAGATTAATGTTGGGTTGGGGTAGGGTTGATTTGTGTTGATTGACACGGCTAAGTGGCGTCGAGTCGGCCCGTGGCGATTGCAAACCGTATTGAGGCTCGCACTGCTTCCAGGTTCGGCTTCCAGTTCTGGTCATCCAAAGGCGATTTTCCACCTAGGAAAAAGGATATGTTGCCTCGGTGAGTGTGGGTACATTGCAGCATTTCCGTCCGGTGTGCGGTCCACCGCTGACATCGAAAGAGGAAGTGCTCCACGGTCTCTCTGGCTTGTCCACATGCGCATTGATCTGACTCTGCGACATTGATTCGATGGAGATATCCGTTGAGTCTAGCCATTCCAGTCCGGAGTTGGGCCAGCGCACTCGCTTCTTTCCACGATAATCGATCATACAACTGCCGGGTATGTTTTCCTGGGAGTGCTGCATCCACTCGTTTGGAGTGTTTCCCTATATTCTCTGGCAGGCAATTTTTGGGGACTGCTTGGGATCGTGAGATGTTCAGTGTTGTCGACTTCATCCGGGGGACCTGTGCCTGCGGGGTAGAATCCTCTTGGGTCGCGGTCCGAGCCTGCTCTTTTGCTAGGCCTAGCAGGTGATTTTCTTCGCTGGTCGGGACCCAACAGATGTTGATGTAGTTCTTATGCTTCCGTAGCCTCTTGATCAGCTTGTATGCTTGGTAGATGTGTTCCTGGCCCGACTGTTGTCGGGGATTCTTTAGCGTGAGAGTCGCCGCTTTATTGCTCGTGAGTAGCGTGACCCTGCACCGTTTCAGTCCCTGTAGCGTGCCCAGTGCGTATGCCATTGCTGCTAGTTCGCCGGAGTATGGGTTTTGCTCTGCTCTTGCGCCCAGTGTGACAGAGAAGGTTTTCAGCCTCGGTTTTCGATAATGAGGTGGCTGCTTCTCGATCGCCACTCCAAATCCAACCAGATCGTTCCGTGCTGAACTGCTGACCGCGATCCGCATGACTCCACCTGCTTCGGTCTGTGTCTCTGGGGTTTCATGACCATCGCTCTGCACACGCTCCTCCCATGGTGCCAAGGTGAATGGATTGATGGTTTCCAGTGATTCCATCTCGATGCTTTTCAGCGCGTCTGCGACCTGATACAATGGCGACCGGTGGTATCTTCTGAATTTTCTGATCTGAGCTGTACTCCTGCGGAGGGGATTGGTTACTGATAGGGTGTGAATGTCCGTCCACATCTTCACGGCTCGTCTCCAGAACCGATGTCGTGCAGTGGCAATGTGAGCCTCGGCCTCCGCCACGCTGGTCGCAACGGTGAGGAACGTTCCTACAATCGCCTGCGCTCCGACTCGTTGAACCCGGTTGATCGGCCCGATATTCTTGTTCTTGAAAGCGTGCATCCAGACATTGGAGGCATAGTCCACCACCGGGGCCACGGTGGCTGTGAAGAGCTGCCGCGCTGTCGCTGGGGACAGACCTCGGAGTCGTCGAAGCTCCATCGCTGCCTCTAGGCCTTTGGACGCCGCTCTCGCGATATGTTCCTTGTATTTGAGTCTTGTATCCATTATCACGCCAAGAATCTTAACATGGTCTTTAGGTTCAACGGTCTCTCCCTTAATGATGAATGGCTCCAGGTCCGATTTGTGGGCCTTGGGGGCGAAGTGTATAATGGCAGTTTTCTCTGCTTCAAAGGTCGCTCCACTTCTCTTTTCCCAGTCGAGTGCTTCATTGACGATCGCTTCAATACCATTCCGGTTGCTCTGCGCAGTCGGTCCGGTCACCCACGCGGTAAAGTCATCCACGAAGGCAATCGCTCCTCCTTGGCCGTCGATCTGTCGTTGTACGAGATCTGCGTTGAAGAAGAGGAATAGGATGGGGGACAGGGGTGATCCCTGAGGCAGCCCCGCCTGTGGGAGACTTCGGGCCTCAGATGCTTGCCCATTGATCTGGATAGTCGCTGTTCGCTCCGAGCAGAACGCTTCGACCCACCGGAGCACGACCTCCGGTATCCCTCGCGCTTTCATCCTCTGGAGCAGTCGTTCTTTGCAAACCCCATTGTAGGCCCCCTTGACGTCGAAGCTGATCAAGCTCAAGACCCGTCGGCCACGCCACGCCGCATAGATTTGCTCTTGCAAGAGTAAGAGTGCCTGCTCCGCGGACCGCTGCTTTCGGGCCCCGAAGTGACTAGTTGGAAGCAGGCCATAGGTCTCCACCGCGTGTGAGATCCTTTCTGCGATGATTGATTCCAGTATCTTCCCCAGTGTCGCCAGGAGTGAGATCGGCCTCCAAGCCTTCGCAATGGTATAGTTCTCTTTGTTCGGTTTCTTGAGCGGTATGATCTTCGCATGTCTCCACTGCTTCGGCAATGTGCCTTCTTCGAGCGACGCCTGGAATAGCCCCAAGACCCTGTGCTTGACCGCGGGCCATGTCATCTTCCACACTATCACCGGTAGACCGTCCTCGCCCGGCGCTTTCCAGGACTTTGCGGCCAACAACTGCCGTTCGACCTCTTCCATAGTGATGGCCGGCATATCCACCGGCGCTCTTTGTGGTCTAGTTCCTTCCCCGTCGATGTTTTCCGGCAGGGGCGGGAAGAATTTGGTCAGTAGTTCTTCTGCTTGCTCTTTGTGATCAGTGGTAATAGTTCCATCTGCCCTGAGGAGCTGCGGGACCTTCCCGAACGCTGCATCGTCTCCCGACTTCAGGTATTTCGCGGCTTTCCATATATTATCGTTGTCAGCCAGAAACTCATTCCAGTGCTTCTTCTTTTGTTTCCGAATTGCATCGTGGTATTGTTTCGCCGCACTTGCGGCCATTTTCTCCAGGTGTGGCACCTTTCGCCCTACACGTCGCTGCGAGCGGGCGTGGTTTCTCCAATATGTGTATATCTGACGGAGCTGTGTTAGGTCACCCGTCCACCATCGCTTTGCGTGTGGCGACGGTTTGGCCCTCGGTGTCAAAGTATGCACTGCCTCCGACACCGCAAACATGAGGCGGTCGGTTTTCAGCTGCATTGTGCCTTCTAACGGAGTGGTGGCTAGAGTACTAGTAATTCTGGCATTAATTTCCTTCCATGGTGCGTTCTTCAGCAGAAGTCGTTCCGCATGCTGGGGGGGTCGGCCACGGCGCATCGAAAACAGTCTCAATGGCGCAGTGGTCCGAGCCATGTTCTGTTCCGTGTATTGCACACTTGACCATCGAGTCTGTCAAGTTTTCCGAGGCCAGGACGAGGTCGATCGTGGACTCACAGTCCCCAGTCTGCCCTCCACCGTGCCATGTCTTCGTGCCTCGTTTGAGTAGGCTACTCAGAGAAAATTCGTTCATGATCTCGATGATTGGTTCCGCCTCTCCTTGCCTTGTCAAAGACACGTCGTCTCCTCCCCAGAGTTGATCATGGCGGTTGAAGTCCCCTACAACCATAACCTCCACCACCGTCCCTGAATCTCGCTGTACCTCTGTGATTGCTTTTCTAAGGTGATCGCATGCGTCGTCCAACGCCGAGGCATCCCCTCCCTCTACGTAAACCGATGCCATAAAAATCAGTCGCTCGGGGAAGCGGATGACCACCGCCGTCAGATCCGGCGACTCGATCGGCACTTGCTCTGCTTCCACTTCCTTGTTGATCCAAAGCATGCTTCGGATCGCCCATCGGCCCTCCCTCCAGGTGGAGGGAACCACCTTGGTCCATTTGTGATGTCCCATCGGGGTTGTCAGGAGCCGCCCTTGGATTCTTCTCGCTTGGGGTTCCTGAATCGCTAGTGCTATTGCCCCCTGAGTTTCTTCGTCGTTCATTAAACTGTCATGCACTGCTCCCTGTTTCCTCACATTCAGTTGGATTATTCGGAGTGTTTTATTCATGATGTGGCGGATACAGCTTCTGGCAACTTTTGCTGTATGATTCATGTGGGCCTCCGCATGGAACGCACTTTGGAACCGTTTGGGCGCAGTTGCTGTGGCGGTGGCCCTCCATAGTGCGCCTAGGCAGAACTCATGATACACAACGGCCTGCATATCAATGACGACAGTATTTCATCAGGCACCTGGGCACTGGCACAAACATCAAAATATATCATATCAAATCCATATTCTCAGACTCGGATTCTGAATTTGAAGGTTCATCTGGATAATCTTCTGCATGAGGATCAGAGGACCACCCATATCTGGCGCGATCAGTACCATCTCTGTCTTCTGCTTCCCACTTCTTTCTGTCCCTATCGGAGAGTGTATCAATAGTCGCACCATGAAGCTTCAGCAAACAAGCCAATTCCTTGTAACCTTTCATTTCAGCAACATATAGACCGGCATTCCCATGCTCTGAAGCTCCCAGGCCACCGAGCAGCAGAAATTCAACCATAGAATAGTTCCGTCGTAATACAGCAAGTTTCAAGGCTGATTTCTGGGATCGTTTATCCATTTTCAGTAGAATAGAAACGATATCCAGATTATCATCTTCAACGGCGCGGTATAAGGGTGAAGGGGTATACCGCTCTGGATCAGCACCACACTCAAGTAACTTGCTCACCATCTCAGTGTGGCCATACTGCACAGCTATAAACAATGGTGGGTTGTCAATGTCAACCATCCGGCTATGCCATCTTGTGCTAGTATAGTCTGATGGAAGTGGGTTGGCAGTATGACTTCCACGATAGAAGTTGACTTCTGCACCAAAATTTTAACAGAGTATGAACAACCTCTGTATGTCCAGCACGAATGCCTATCGCTAGGGCATGCTGAATATTAAGAATATCCATAAAGCAATATCCTTGCGACAAAAGAGGATGGGTATAGATATCTTCCCAGTAGGGATCTGATCTTCTTTCCTTATCCCGTTTATCATCGTCATCGTCATCGTCATCGTCATCCTCGTCCCGGTCCCGGTCCCGGTCCTGGTCCTGGCCCTGTCGCCCTTCTTCAACACCCAAAACTCCTTTACGCCGGGTCAGATAGCGCATCTGGGTCATTTTCTGGGGAAGCGAGTCAGATCTAGTTCGGGCAAGATCTAATCCGACTAAAAGATCGTTGAGCTGTGGAAGGATATTTAACTCGGCTGCAACAGGGACCGCCGACCCGGATTCGTATTGAGCATTCCAATAGTAAAGACAACTTTTCAGCTCTTGGTACAGACGACGATTGGTTCTAACCAAGCCATAGATGTCGCTCTGGCGCGAAAGATAGGATGAAATGATCCACAGGATTTCAGTGGGTAGATGAGAAAGGCTCATTTTGATGTGTATGACCAGAATCGAAAAGAAAAGAAGATGATAGGTGATTTCCCAGATTCACGTATGTTGTGTGTAGGAGCAAGGTTGAGATGAAAGGTTTTGAATTCCTTGAAGCCCCTATGTCCATTTTTGGCTCTCAGTTGGAGATCCATTACTGACGCGTTCGGGCGATTCCGGTATTCGGTGTAAAATACAGCGTGTGCTTGGCGCGTTGAAGTCATAATGTGGAGCACATACCAATTCTATTTCCGTATTTGGATACCGGACCAGGCTGACCTCGTGCATAACTGGTGCGGAACACTAGCAAGATAATAGAACAATGTGTCAGGATGAGGAATTAATGTACTGGCTAGTACTGAACATGTCCAATAGAATCAGATGATTGATTGATTAAAGATCAGAGTGGTTGAACACTCGTGAGAGTCTGTATCATCTAGTTTCGGTGTGTTACGACACCATACTCCGAGTCTACACCGAATACCACACGAATACGTGGGGAATTGGGCGGACGATGAACATCCCACCCAAAAGCGTCTTAGTGGTATTTGACCACTCTTTCCGCTCGACACACCCCCTCAGCGTTCGCGCAATTCCTAACAACCTCCTGCTACTCTAGCAGATTTCCAATATCCTCCATGCCCATCATTTGAATGAATTCTGCGTGCTTCTGGCGCGGCAGTAGTTTGGTGAGTCCATCCGCAGCCATATCTTTCGTTTCAGTCCATTTGATGAGGATCCTGCCTTCCTGGACCTCCTGGCGGAGCCAGTGGTGGTGGATGTCGACGTGCCGAAGCTTCGTGCGCAGTTGTGGAGCTTCCTTGGTGAGAAGCCTGATCGTCTGTTGATTATCACATCGGATAGCCAGGTCGTGCTTTGGGTCAAATTGAATAGCTGCAAAGAGACGTTTCCACATGCTCATGGTCCTGCCAGTCTCGGAGATTGCCAGTAGCTCCGCTTCAGTTGTGCTGGTGGTGACTGTACGCTGTTTGGTAGCCTTCCAATCGACTGGTCCTCCAAAAATCATACAGAGATATCCCTCCGAGCTCTTCCGGTCAGGGTTATCAGCGAACGAGGCATCACTGAATAGGGTGACAGCTTCTGCATCGTCAGATCGGCGCGGCCGAAAAGTGAGAGCGCGGTGACGTGTGTGATATAGATAGGATATCACACGGTTGATCTCTTCCAGATGCTCCGGGCCCGGGTTCGTGAGAAACTGAGCTAACGCCGAGGTGGCCTTGGCTGCATCTGGTCGTGTGATGGTCGTGGCATACTGAGCTGAACCTATCTTCTCCTGGTACTCATGAATTCGCTCCTTCGTGGCTTGCCCAGCATACGGCTTCAATGTAGCTGGTGCTAGTGGTGTATCAAATCGACGATGGGTGGTGAGATGGTATCTGGTTGCCATAGAGGAAATGTATGAGTCCTGACAGAGCCAGAGGGCCATCTGCTGTCTGTCGCGGACGATACGAATCCCTAGGAACCACTCTGCTTCGCCCATATCTCTCAATTCCCACGCGATATTGAGTTTCTCTTTGATCTCAGCCGCGCGCTGGCGCTGAGATGGGTGATTGACGACGATTAGATCGTCTACATAAAAGAATACGATGATTCCATCTGCTGCGAAGAGACAGAGATCTTCCTGAACCACTGTCAGACCTAGGGTAGTCAGAACCTTTGAGGCCTCGCGCTGCCAGAGCCTCGGGGATTTCCGTAGGCCGTAGAGAGCTCTTAGGAGCTTCCAGCAATAACCAGACTGTCTAAATCCCTCGGGCATCTCCGTTAAAACCGTTTCATCGAGTAAGCTATTGAGGAATGCATTGACAGCGTCAAACTGGTGTGTATCAAGGTTAAACGCAGCGACCATAGCGAACACAGCCCTAGCCGTGCGCGCTGCGAGAGTGGCCGAGTATTTCTCCTCAGCGGTGAGTGTCTGAAGGTCTCCTCGTACGCAGATTCTTGCCTTTAGCTTAGCTAGATAGCCATCGCTGTCGAACTTATAGTTAAACACCCATTTCAATGGAAGGACCTGCACACTGCGATCATTCGGACGCTGTATGACCTCAAAAGTGCCCTTTCGCTCGATAGTTTTGACTTCAAGGCCTGCAGCAGCTAGGAAGCCCTCACAAAATGGATGATTCATCATGTCTCGCCAATTTTGTGGCTCTGGCGGTAGCTCATCGCAGTGAGATCTTGTGTAGGAATGAGAGCTATTGATTCCAGTAGCGAATGCAGCGAGTATACCCTCTTGGTTTTCATCATCACCACCTGCAAACATAGCCCAATCGCTCATGTCTTTAGGTTTTCGCATACGTGAGCCGGGCACGATATTGCGAGGTGAAACGTTCCCTACAATATCTCTTGGTGCAGTACGTGTCTCTCGGGTAGGCGCGGCCGTAACGAGCTCTCTCTGAAGCTGCTCAGCGGGTTGATCTTGAGGATCAGGATCTAGTGGCACCCCACGAGGTTGTTGCTCTGGTAAAGGTGTAGGTGACAGTGATATCATCTGCTGAGGCTCCACTAGCTGCGAGGTAGCTGTTTTCTCCTGAGAAGGCTTAGCTGACCTCTGTGGCTCCGTCTCCTGCGAGTCCGCGGTGTTTCCAACTGCTTGAGGCATATCAAGGTATATCCTCGAGGTATCCTGGTTGGTATCCTCGCTTTCTTCGACCACCCATGGCATTGACTCCAAGATATCGCTGACAGGCTCCTTCTCTAGCTCTCGAGCGTTGAAGAACACGTTCTCATCAAAGATGACATCCCGCACTGCTCGTACGGCTCCTCTGCGTGGAAACCAAACCTTCCAGATATTCGAGGCTTCATAGCCAACAAGATATCCTATCTCGGCGCGAGTCTCCATCTTTGCGGCGTTCGGAATACCCTGTTTCCGCACATACGCTCTGCATCCAAAGATCCTCAGATTTGCAAGGTTAACACGCTGTTGTGGCTGGTTAAGGAATGCCTCTTGGTAAGGAATTATCCACCGGCCGTCTGATAGCTTCGTGGGCGATCTGTTAATGATCCATACAGCAGCTCTCACAGCTTCAGGCCATAGATTCTTCGGAAGGCCTGCATCAGCTATAAGAGCACGAGCCACAGTGATTACCACCCCCCCAGATCGCTCCGCGAATCCGTTCTGTTCTGGGGTGCCTACTACACTGTGCTCAATGATAAAGCCTTCGTTGGATAGGAAATCCTCCACTGTACGCCCAGCAGAGCGTTCGTTATCATATCGAAAGGCCCGTATTGGAAGATTCCACTGCTTCTTCGCTAGTGCAACGAATTGACTAACCGCATCTTGGCAGCCGTTCTTCTTTTCATGGGTGTAGGTCGCGTGGAGGCGTACGCCTTCAAGATAGAAGTGCGTCATCCAGCGATCCCCATTATATCCTGGGTCGATTTGAACGAGATCAAAGTGGATGCGACCATACTTGCCGTACGGTGTGCCAGTAGTTCTCCGAGAGATCTGACGCTTAGCCTTAGTCAGTTGACAGACCTCGCATCTCTCAGGATTATCGTGACGGTTGTCTTCGCAGATTCCCTCAATTTTGACCCCATCAACCATCTCTGGCAGCTTCTCAATCTTCTGGTCAAAAGCGTCGCCTAATCGTCGATGCCAGCGCCTCGCTGAAACCACTGAGAGGAGAGGCTTCTCTGAATGTCGTGTAGAGAACGCTGCTTGATGGTTCGAGTTATAGTTGACTGTATAGAGGCCGTGATGTCTCTCAACCTCAAGAACAGCTTCAGGGCCTTTGAAGATGGCTCTTTTATTAGATTTGAAGCAAAAGCCCTTATCCTCAATTATAGAGAGTGAGATCAAGCTTGTGTGGAAGCCAGGTGAGTACTGTACATTGTCTAGGGTAATAGGTACTGTAGCACCCGTACGAGGGTGTCTCCCAGTGATCCTAACTTGCCCATATCCTAGAAGTGGTGTCTCAGTTTGACCGGTTTTAACTATGTTTTTCCGTGGTACATAGGTCATGAACAGCTCTAGATCGTTGCAGATATGGCAGCTGGCGCCAGTATCAAGAATCCAACTGTCTTTGAGAGGTTTGCCGTCCACAGCTGACGCTACGATAGCTCCAGTATCATTTGTATAGAAGGCCAAGGATGATCCCTCTGTCGAAGCAGTACCAGCTAAGTGAGCTGATTCACTCTTTTTCTGCTGCATTTTGGCGATCTTCTCTTGATCTTGAGGGCTCATCTGCTTGATGCACTCAGGGATACGTTGAAGAGTACCCTCCCGTGGCTTCCAGCCCTCCGGTCGAATTGACTCGTTGAGATAGAAGCATTTAGAGTAGTGATGTTGGGGATGAGTATTACCACACGGACACTTTTTTCGGTATGTCCTCTCAGCAGGCTTAGCTTCAGGTTCGCCGTTTAACGAAGCCAGAGCTATCTTCGGTTGCCTCCGCCCGTTAAAGACCGCGAGATCCCCACAGCGACTGCGGTAGCTAGCTATAACCTCATGAAATGTGATGGATTTCTCCTCATCTACCAGTTTCCCACGCCAGGACGTGCACCAGGTGTCATCAACCGGTTGTATCGCGTCAAGGAAGTCTCGTATCGCAAAGTGATCTCCGCTAGAGCAATCAGGTATGCCAGCGATCTTGCCTTCCTCAAATAGACTAATCCATTGAGTCAACCAGTGATCAGTATCACCTGGTGGCTTCTGTCTGATCATCTCTCTCCAAGCACGGCGAAGCTGCTGTTGACGATTGTGAGGCTTCGGTTTAAACGTTTCGGACAGCTTCATTAGCTTCCTCCGTGGTGAGTCCTCTCCTACAACAAGATAGTGGTGTTCTGTGGCTAGCGATCGGGTAATGAGGCTATTCAATCGTGACATAGTCTTTTGCAACCTCTGTCGGCGCTGATCGCGGCGATCGTACGCTTGAACGGCTAACGTGTACCGCTTGAGCTCAGCATCGTCTAGCTCCATGATGTCCTTCTCCCGGTGGCGGTTATCCCGAGGTAACGATGGCTCTTCCTGAGCTTCAGGAACCTGCAGGACCTCATCATCCGCCTTCTCGGGGTCCAGGTAATCCCATGCATCTTCTGCAACAGCCGCTGACTTGATATGGCCTATCCAGACCCTCCACTGTGCTTCTGACTGAAGCTTCTGGTCAAGCGGGACCTGCATCAGATCTTCCCTCGTAATATCGGACATCTTCGCACAGGATATAGCTCAGATACTCAGATTCTCCTCTTATAACAATTCCAAAGGTTTCTCGTCGGCGCGGATCTTCGGTGTGCTGAACGTAAGAGCTCACAAGCGGTGGCTAGGCGTTCAGGGGTATCCGGCCGGGCGCTTCAGGGGTTCGTTGACTGCGAGATACAGTGCAAGATGGTCTAATATCTCTCGGACAGTCAGGCAGTCCGGGCTCATAACTGTCAGGATAAGGAATTGATGTACTGGCTAGTACTGAACATGTCCAATAGAAACATATGATTGATTGATTAAAGATCAGAGTGGTTGAACACTCGTGAGAGTCTGTATCATCTAGTTTCGGTGTGTTACGACACCATACTCCGAGTCTACACCGAATACCACACGAATACGTGGGGAATTGGGCGGACGATGAACATCCCACCCAAAAGCGTCTTAGTGGTATTTGACCACTCTTTCCGCTCGACAGAAATTCCAACTGGATCTTTGATACGATAAGCATGATACAAACCAACAGGTCGGGGACGTGAAATAACAGGATGGAGGGTGCCATCTATCATCACCCATAAGGAGTTTGCTTTACTTCACTCACCCCCGCCCCCGAAATGAGTTCATCGAATCGAACCAGGGAATGTCTCCGACTTGGCAGATGAAGTTCAGATCCATAGTGAACGGCGGTCCAAGCGCAACCACTACTGCGCACGGATATTTACCCACTCAATCACATGGCTTTCTCGTTCCGGAGTCTCCGAAGCAATAACACCACATTCTATCAGCCCGTCTCATCCATTAGGATTTCGTTGAATTGTGAAGCATGCCACCCATTGATGACTAGAATTCACTTTGTATTAATTCAAACGTGGCACTATAGCTAGCACTTTCCGCTGTGCGACGCACGGAGAACAAAAAGGGGATATCACGTTGGCTTATGGCACATTTGTCGCAATATCGACTTGACGTGTGCAATATTCCATGATTTGATGGCACGAATACAGTGCCGTTTGGCACTAGATTACTTCAACACCCCACTAATTGCCATTATGTTGAATGTGGATGAAGGGCAAAGAGGCATCATCGGTAACAATGAGCTCCATATCTCCCTAGGTTCTTTATGCTGAGTACTTCATACCAGAGGTGCAATATCAATCAATGGATACATATATGGTCGAACTGCTTCATTTATGTCGTGCTAAATTGATAAAGGAAGCATTGGTTCGCGATCCACACCTCTCGATCATAGTTGCTCATGCCAATTTGTTGGAGACCCTACTATCGGACCTAGCCGACAAGTCTTTTGGTATAAATGAGGACTGGAAGCCCGACTGCAAAAGCTCGTCTGATGATAGCTCATTCGAGAGCAATACACTGAACGGTTGTGACTAATTTGGTTGAATATGCCGGGATTTTTCCCCACTGATACCAAAAACAGCATCCGGTGTTTCCAAGGTCATTAGCCTGTCAGTAAGGCCTGAGGTACTAGAGCCGATTAAGAGATATATGGTGGCATCAAAAATGCTTGCTAGACAGTTTGCATTAGAGTATCCCCACACAACCATCTTTGCCACGGCGCCGGCAGCCTTTTCGGCCTCGATTCTTGCCCTATCCGTCCGCCAGCAGGTCAGCGCAGTTGCGGACGACCAACTCCTCTTTCTGAGCGACTGGAAGCTAGCAACAACCTCCCTCGCCGAAGCGCTTGACTCGGTCATCCCCTCCCTACAGGGCCGCCCACGCGAGCTCGCCAGCGCACTCGCAGCCAAATTCATCGCCCTAGCCCGCCGCGATGTACCGCAGCAAGGCCCCCCTAGGCCCTCTACCGCTCCCCAAGCCCACGGCACCCACTGCCCCCCCAGCGAGCTCCTCAGATCCCGCGGGCCCAGTCCTGGGCCTCGATAGCCACTCCCGCGCCCGGCCAGGAAGCCTGGCAAACCATGGCACCGAAATAACGTGACCGAACCCAGCAGCAGCGGCAGCGCCAGACGAAAGAAGCCGACTCCCGCATCTTCCTCCGACTCCCAAGCCCCTCTAGCTTACGAGATATTGGGCCTCACGGCGTCCGAGTCACACTAGCAGGCAAAGTCCCCGGCGAAATCACACGAATACAAACTGTCCCTACAGGCTACGCTATATCCGCAACCGAAGAAGGCACGACCTTCCTACTCTCTTCCTAGGCTAAAGAGCTGGCCGAGGACGGCTACTTCGAGGCCGCGACGGAATACCACCAGGTCATGGTCTCCCGTATCCCACAACGAATCTAGACCCCAGATAGTGGCTGGATGCCTACTACAGTCAGCGATATTAGTGCAGAGGCGGAGCGGGTAACCGGCCAAAAGCCGCTCACGACCAAGCTCTCTAACCACCATATCGAAGCAGACTCTGTTACAGCGGTTATAGCTTTCCCAGGGAAGCTCCGCTATGCGCTTCAGCTCATCGGCGCCTCCGGCCTTTCTATGCTTACTCGCCCAAAGCAATGGCCGCTACAGTGTACCCGCTGCCACAGCTTCCATGACACGCGGGCCTGCCGCTCTAGCGAACGCTACGTCTCCTACGGATCGTCCAAGCCGGAAAATACCTGCCATGCGCAATTCATTAACTGCCACGGACCGCATGCTGCGGACTACCCAAAATGCCCCGCTAGGCCCTACACACAGAAAGAGGCTATCATCCGCCTCTCGAAAGCCGCCTTATCTGCCGTTCGTAAGGGCGGTCGGATCGCCTTCCAGCAACAACAAGCTAGACACACCTCTGACCAACGAGCGACTAACCCGGATCTTCTCTATCAACCGTCAAGCCAGCTCTCCCCCCACGCAGATCTATGAGAATACTACAGGCCAATGTCGGGAGGAGCGGCCCTGCCCACGACCTACTACTATCATACGAAGCAGACGTCATCCTAGTCCAGGAGCCCTGGACTGATATGACGAGGCAACTCACGAGGACTCACCTACGCTACCAGCTGTTTGGCCCTGCCACCCGCTGGGGAGCTAGGTTGCTAGTTGAACCAATTTACCATACAAAACACAAAGAAATGTGGGTTCCTGGGGTATCAGCACTTGCTAGTGGTAAAATACCACTCGATGCGCTGACAATTAGTTAATTATCTGGATTATGGAGGACGAAAACAGGCGCATGTCGGGTCGTGAGGAAGAAATGATATGCTATCACGCCCCATAAAGTTTTATATTCACACTGATTATTTATTCACTGTCTGAGCTGCTAGATGGGAAAGATTTTCGTGGTCGACGAATTTTCCAGCCGCGTGGAGATGCAAGTTCGGCTATCCCCATGTGCAATGCCTACCCGTCGATGGTATGAGAGGGTTGTATAGGAGGCTCGTTGGTGACATTAAGTGTATGAAACAAAGCTGAATATTTTTGCGAGGGCCTGATTCCCACCTCTTCTGAACTCGACCAAAAATGGGTACAGAAAAGGGATTGATGGTTCAGCATGTAGACTCGTTCTGTAGGAACGGTAATTTTGAGTTGGATCAGAAAATTCGGCAAAACCCGGCTCCATATCGGCGTCTGCCATTCTCATGCCAATTAGAATCGAAGATAGACTAAAGTGATTATTAAAATATAAAAGTTCCTGCTATTAATTAGCCACAGCAAGATAGAAGAAGGAATATTGAAACGAAAAAATTGCTTTTGCTACTGCCACTACTTTGTCCTGCTGAACATCCGCGATGGCGATTTCCTTCGCATCGAGGCACATCTGATTCTACTGAATACCAAGAAGTCTCAAATTGGAATCGTGAGTAAGAATACCTTCGAGACTCAAATGCCGAAATAGCTTCAAAGCATTTTGACTCAGCTCTATGGCTCAGCTCTATGGCCACCGATCTCGGGGTGTCATTAATCAGTAAATCGAGAAAACCTGTTTCAATATCAAAATACCGTCCTTCTATCATGTCAAGGCCCATTTTGTAGCGCGTATAGCGAGCTTTCAAGATTTTCAATCTGCTGAGTATGTTGACATCTGGCTCAGAAAGCAGCGCATGCAAGGGTTCGGTCATAAATCTTGTATCCAGTTCGAGGTTCATATATGGTCTGCTAGACTCAAAGTTTTTCAGAGCATGTAGCACAGCCTGGTACAAGAAGCCTTCAGAGCCAGTTTCCGGGATCGAATGAGCCACATCACCGACACTGAACCAATAATCATCACATACCTCTAGTATAGATCGGTATTTGCCAGCTTCGAGGGGAAATGGCATAAAAAGTCGAAGAGGGAAAAGGCAAGCCTTTCATGATAAGTTTCTAATATTACCACAGCTGTAGAATAATTGTCTGACACCTGAACAATCCAATCATCAAATTTTATCCTCTTGAGAAGACTCCAGCAGTCTTGGAGGAGATTCATCTTAATCTCTTGGGTATCAAGATCCTTCGAGAAAATCATCCACTGTGTTTGTGAAGCATAGCTACCCTTTCCATCGTGTACCGGTCTTTGGTTGTTTGTATCTCCGGAGTCAGACATTTGACAGTGGCCCAATTGATCCGCAGAACTATCGGCAGAGCAAGGAAAGCTGAAATCCTTTGGTGATGGTGAGCCCATGGCCAGGTTCATAGGTGGTTGAATAGATATTTAAAAGACTGAAAACTCCCAATATGCCAGAATAAAGCATCAATAATCGAGTTTCTACTTGTTCAGCACAGATATCTGAATGGTTTACACCTAGATCACCGCTCAGACCCGTTAGAAGTGATACAAAGATGACAGCATATTACGAGTTATCAATGCCACAGAGCCGGGATTAAATGAGGATAACCTCTAGAGGCGAATCAACGGTCTTACCTCGAAGTTCTGAGACAACTGAGTGATACGCACGACTGGCCGACATTTTCTTCCGGATCTTACTAAAGGCTCCAGCAAATATGCGGCTGAAGCGGATACGCACCCGCCTGTTCCGATCAGGAGAACTTCCCCCTCCCCAAGTTATTAGCCTTCCATCAGCCATCTTCTTTTCTTTCTCTTTGAACCTTCCGACATAGTTTCATACGTGGTTGATTCTGCAAGACAAGTGGCCAGAATACAGGACATAAATTAACTCAATTATTGTATGGATGGCCGTTTTTGTCCTTCTCCCATGCCCGTGAGTCTTAAGAATCTCATCTTGGTTCAATTATTTCTCCTCTTTGCCGTGACTAAGTGCGGATTATCTTCGTCATGAAAGTACTTGTAAGTGTAGGACCCAAAAAGCACATATCTTCCACACCCCAGTCTCACGTCAACTTATCACGGCCATCTTTGCTATAATCTAAATTTCTTGGCAGCCTCGCCGGCAGCATCAAAGTAAGCAGGCCAAATAGTCCGCCCTATATAGAGAGTCTCGACACAATCTTCGTCTTCAAATAGTTGAGAAAAGCGGCAGTATTTGGCTGACATAATGTGACTGTGATGGGCTTCTTCCTTGGTATAATCGGCGCTAGCCTCGGGCGACTTGAGTAGCTCTGGTGATAGTTTTTGAATCGGACTCTTCTCCTGATGAAATACAAACAATCCTCCACCCCGACGGCCGTGATTCTACTAATAAGCCAATCGTATCATGTCAACCAGTATATGTTGTGTTTTTCGACTATTTAGCCACTGTATGGACATATGATTCAGTTTGTCGCCCGACCGACTAGCCATCAGGCACGCGCTTTGTAAAGACCTAAGTAGAATACATCAAGACTGGGATGGGGCGAGGACGGTGGTTCTATCGGCAGAGGCCAACCAGGCGAGCCGTCATTTGTCTTCCAACATCATCAAGTGGCCGGCTGAGTTCCGGCCAATCAGATGCTCACAAGCTGGCCAGTTTCCATCCATCCTTGGCGTCGGACATTTCGATATTGCCACTCAGACACCGGCACCGCAAGCAAACGTTCTCATACGTTATAGGAAACACAACTTCCGAACGCGGCACAGGCGATGCTAGTAGTCAGGTATTAGACAGACAGACTGGGTCACACCCTGGAGAAGTTCCGTTCCACCACCAGCGATATTGAGCAGCACTTACACATGGGAGCGTGGGAGCTAACTGTCCTAGTGGTATTTGACCACCCTCAGTTCGACCCTTCGGGATAGGCTTATTCATCGTTCACCCAATGCACCCTAGTATGAGATTCGGAATTATGGTGCCATAATACGCCATAGCTAGATAGACCCCTGAGACCGCTCAACCGATCTCAACAACCTTCAATCAATCAATCATCTGATTCTATTGGACATGTTCAGTACTAGCCAGTACATTGATTCCTCATCCTGTCACTAGTTAACTACGATAGTCTCGAAGTGCTCTGTGGGCCGAACTTTGGCAATTTATAGGAGATACGTGCGATGCCAAAGACGAATGGTGCCCATTGACCGACTCCCACAACATTGCACGACCTCCCAGCACTGCTCCCCAATATTAGGATAGTAAAAAATAAAAAATAAAAATACATAATCTATCTTTATCTCATTTGCAGCAAAATCCATTACAGAGGAATGGAAATGGCTATTACGGTCGTATCTTTCGAGAATGAGGTCACTTTGTTGGCCCATCCTCCGATCATTGCGAATTAGTCCTGGAAATCTGCTGAGGACCCAGGATATTACTACTAGGCCTCCTAGAGACAGAGTCATTAAACATCCGTCCATTCCTCTTTATGTGATATATTGTAACCAGGGAAATCTCGAAAGTACGGGGGAGTAGGATACCATTAACCAGAGACCTCTCAATGAATCGATACATCTTCATGCATTTCTGTATAATCAAGTGGCCCATTAGTACTAATCTTTACGGACATTCCACTGCCTGACATATGCCTTCGTCACTTAGTCTCTGTCAAGAGCAGATATACAGCTCCGTTATTCGGGCCACACAATTGGCCCTCCGCACTCCTTGACATGTAACTTTAGGGACACTTTTAATAGTCAGTCAGGATTTCAGCTCAAAGAATGATCTTCAGAAATGGCACATAAAGAATATTGAGTCATACATAGCACATCAGAAGCTGAGCAGGAAGCTCCCAGACACTTGTTGAGGGCCTTCAGGAATGGGACACTCGGACAAGTGCATTCGGTCTGGAGATAGGAGGTACATCCTGCAGCGGCAGCGGCCTGCTCATTGCACATTTGCTAATTATAATGTATTTGGTAAGCAAGCCTTTTCCGGTGAGTCTTAATGTATTAGAGTCTCTCACCAGGCAAGTGGTCATGTTGTGGGGGTTATTGGGGTCTTGTCCCACTGCAAATGACAACAGGAAAGCGAGGGGAATAAATTGTGAGAGTCTCATGTTGGAATTAGGCTGGGTGGATAGTTTGAGCAATTCAGGAAGGTTGTAAGGGACATTGATATTAATATAGTAACGTGCGCAACTTCGTGTTCTTAAATAGTCACCGGTCCAGGATAAAGCTTCCTAATGTAGCGATTGCGGGAACATTTACTCCAGGACTTTTACAGGAAAATAATTAGCGAGATTTATCTGGGTGTATTTCTGGGCTTTTTAATTGTCTCAATCGAGCTAAAGTCCTGCGGAGACACTATTTCAAAATGGACCAGAGGAAGGACTATAATTATTACAAGTGTAGGTTATGTATGGGGCTCGTACATATACCCCCCCACCCTCAGTGCTGAGGACTCATCCCTGTTCTACGCTGAGACCTCCCGAAACCCCCTGCACTGCCCAAGCATACTCGTGTATTCTTAGGGAGGATTATGTCCTACTGTTATTACAACTATCTGTCATGATAGAGAACATAGAGTGCTCTTCCAATCAGGGGTTATCCTAACTCTTAAACGCCAGCAATTCACTCATTTTAAGACGCCTATAATTGGTGTATTCATTTTTCCTGCACACATCCTATCTTAACAGTGGCAGCTTCGAGTGGAAGCGACAAAAGAATATCTAAATATGGGGTTATATGAAAAAACTCCGTGAAGTACAATCCCTGAATTTTTGAAGGTAAGTAAAAGGCCGGGGTTGGTAATAGAACAGGCTAAAGGAAAGTTAAGAAGAGGCCAGAGATTCGAAGGTGTTTACATTGGTTCGTGATAGGACTTGAAACCTTTGTCCGATCACTAAAACGCATGGACATGGCAGTATAGACGGGTCATAGATACTGGTAGTATCGTGCTCTTCACACTAACCACATTTGTCCAATCCTTAATCCTAATATCGAGCCAACTAGACACGCTTGGGTCATGATAAGAACTTGTATCAGTTCCATGTAAAACATGAATTTGACCAATGTATGACAACATGTGCATCATTTCGATTGCATGGCGTTCTCTTCAAATAATCAGTCTTTTTATCCTGAACTGATTCCCTTTGTTCTAATTCGCTCTCAATGCACCCGTCTGTATGCTCTTAGCTGGTCTCAATAGATAGATACTATCAGGGAATCTTGGAAGTAAGTTTCCTGACGTCATTGGTCAATCGTTTTAAGGTATGTTTACTAGGACGGGGATTGAAATCCAGGAGATTTGGGAACTCCTACAGGCAACAAAAAAAAAGTAGAATGCCAGATTTTTCTTTTCTTTTTTTTCAAAATTATTTCCCCTATTCAGCAGTAAAGTGCAATGCAGTATGCCATGTAAGTTGACTGATCTGAGGTTCGCGCATACGGGTGGAGGCGTCGGCACCTCGTGTTTAACTCCTTGAACGATGATTCGAATGAGACACGATTTTGTTGGAACGCTGTTCAGAATTTGGGGTTATCATCGACGAGTAGCTTGCCTTCTGTTATCGGTTTGTATGTGGTAGCGAATAAATTTGTTGTTGGGGCGTTAGCGCTGCGTTCGTGCGTAGTTACAATATTTTAGAAAGGTACACACCCCAAAAACTTTCGAGAAGCAGGATCCGGCTCACATCCCGCTTTCCGGACTATATCAAAATCTCTTCACGATGTTATTTCGTAGAAAGTCATCCGTTCATCCGGTGGGTCCGATGGGACCGTAAAGACGTACAAACATATCCCCTTCTGATGTGGTGTCCGTGTCGTACAAGTCATCCTTGCGCATAGGTTAACGCCTAGCCCCCTGCGATTACTTGGACTGTATGGAATAATGCTCAGTTCCGCAGAGGCTCTTTAGTGTTTGAATATCTTGATAAAGCTTTTGATAGGATCCTGTTGAGATATGCAGTGGTAACTTACCATTATTAATCGATTGGTCGCATTGGAATCCACGTTCCCATACAAATTATATGCAATTCTAGGCTCAGCTGATATCTTGGCGTTGTAATCGCCGAGTAACGGGACACTGAGTCTGAGGGTATTTCAATAGCGCCCTCATTCAGTCTTTAGCATAAATAATCATTAATATTGATCATTCGGTTGACACCATTCGATGGCTAGTTTACTAGCTGTCGGGACATATCCTTTCGTCAGAACAAGCTAGCGGCAACTTACCGCTGGCGACTGATAGATCATATTTCTGTGCTGGGTGACCCTGCGCGAAGCTGCGGCACCGGTGTTGAGACCACCGAGTATCGGCGTATGGGATTCAGGGGTATTTTGTACCGGGCCTCATACACACCTACATCTATCATATGAATCAATCGACTTTTGCTTAGGAGCATGAACACTGTTCACTTAACTGTGTACACGGTACCTAGCTGGTGATACCAACACTAGCGAATACCCATATTAGCTTGATTTGACAGGTCGAAATGAGATAGAGGATTTGGTCCCTACGGCAACTCCGTCATAGGGTCGTCAGATTGCGTGTTATAGTAGTACATACCACATTTCAAAATGCCGCAAAACCAAGATCAGTTGAGCTCCTCAGTTATGCATCCATTCAACCTGCTGATATGCCCGGCGATGAACGGTAACTAGATGCTTTCTTTGATAATGTACAGAAATGCGAGTCTACCACCAAGGGTTTCACCCCGACGAGGGAAGACATTCATAGACACTCTTTGGAATCGGAAAACGTCATGTGAAGGAAAATCTCGCGCAAAAGCTCTGTGCCCAGGCTGACCAGAGATAATCTCCAATCTATTCTGCCATCATGTATGTATAGGCTTCGCACACATGATTTCAACTATTCACTCGGAAGCTTTCAACGGACCCGAGATATTGCCGAGGATAGTATTGACAGTGGGAGGAAGGAATCAACAATCAACAGTAAACAGTCAAGAGCTCGTTAAAATTAATCTTTAATATTGCCCTTGAACATGGGATGAAAGTAAAGAAAAAATTAGCATCAGCCTATATTAAAGATGCAACTTTTCTAAAATAATCTAATAACAGGCCAGATATTCACAAATTTCAAGCCTTTTGGTCAAACAGATTCCATTAACTGTCGGATAAGATCAAATAACCTATCCTAGGAGCTTTTAAATTATAAATAGCAATTTTTTGAATCCAATCATTCTGAAATAACAGCCGGATAGAATCTTAAAGGGAGTGGTGCCCTGAAACGAAGGAACGGAGTGAAAGGGTTTACAAACCCTGCGTGGCTGGAACTTATTGGGTGTAGGCAGACTTTTGACGCCACGGGATCAACAGCTAAATTTCGCGCCAAGCTTTGTCCTTATTCGCCGCGTTCCTTGGGGATGCACGTGGGACGTCCCTCGCCTACCGCTTTCTTTGGCTTCACTATCCTGTTTTGCCTACCAGGTTCATCCTGGTAGGTCGCCCTGTTTCCCCTTCGGCCCAATTATCCCACAACCCTTCTCTTGCTACCTACTCGTTGCTTTATCCCTCTTGCTTCGCTCTTGCTATTGGACCGTTCTTCTCCTTTAATTGAACATGTCACATATATGTGCTTTCTGTTTTCTTCTGTCCCCGTTCTTGCAGGCCCTTACAAGACCTTGTGTTGTTTTCTTTCCCGTGCCCGATATAGCTTATACCACAGCGTTCTGCTTCGATAATTATCACTATCATTTCCCATGGACTCCACTCCTGACAATTCCGTGCTGTGCTCCCGCTGTTCGCGATCTACGGCAACGCCTCTGTATAGAACTTGTCCCGCCTGCCGCGAAAAGTCCCGGCTCCAGAGACTTCATCGTCGTTTGCTTGCTACTGGTGGGGGACCGACGTCCGTCTCTACCATACAATTTTCCCCTCAGTCCGCGGCTTCGCCCCAACATGTGCAACGTACGCTCTGCTCACATTGCGCCCAACCCTGGCAGTCTCCCCGGTATAAAACATGTGATCGTTGCCGCCGGTGGAAACAGGGGCAGCGCCGGCGCCGGCTCGCGAACATACCGGAAACTCTCTCGTCTATGGAGCTTACCGCTGCCTCTCGAGACGGCTTTTCTGCTCCCAGTGTATCTCACCTACATCGGAGAACCCGGTCTTTGCCCATTCAACGACAAAATCATACTAGCCAAAGAATACTTCAACCACGGACGCACCACGACGCTCTGCACCAGGCCATCGGTTTCCTGTGTGATGAATATCGCCACCATGCATTTGCTTCCCAATCATTCCCGCCTGATATATCGCCTTCTGATATACGGAAATCCGTTTCCCGATACGAGGAAGAGACTTCAACAGCTACGAAAGTATCTGTGTGTAGTTCGTGCGGGAGATTTGTTTTACTTGCTGATCTACACTATATGGACGACGAGGATCCTTTGCTACTGCCCCTGAATGGTTTTCTTGATCGCTGTGGCCGCCATGAACAATCCTGGGGGGTGTGCTCTTCCTGTCACGGAGCTCTTGCTCGTGCGGCCATCCCCAAATTCTCCGCCAGAAATCTGGTCAATGTTACTCTCTGCCAGAATTACCCACCCCCCCCTAGAGGATCTTACCTTGACTGAAGAGTATACTATCGCAAGATGTCATCCGCTAGGTCTGATTTTGAAGTTACGTCCAGGCAGTCGCCTTTCCTCTGTCAGCCACCGTGCGCTGCGAGGTCATTTCATTGTCATCCCCCAGGATCCTGGTCCGCTGCTTCAAATCCTGCCAAGTGCGGAGTTAAGGTTGGACAATCTCATCAAAGTTTTCTGGGTAGGGGGTCGTCCCCGTCAGACAGTGACCTAAGACCATATCTGGTTATTCGGAAAACTAAGGTCCTAGAGGCTTTGCAATATCTCGTTCAACATAATCGTTTGTATCGTGGGTTGGTAATTAATCAACCGATGATGGATACCTGGAGCGACGAATTCATCCCATCCGAGCTACGGGATAATATTATCCCACTTCACGAGCCAGACCACCGTGAACGTGAGGGATACACTGTCAATCTGGCGCAGGGTAATTTTGAGAATGATCTCCAAGCAGCACAGCACGAAGCCACACATAATCAAAGTTTGGACCCTGATAGTGCTACACACTTCCTAAGTGGCTCCGTTTCCACAGACATCAACGGTGAACGACAGAACCCTGACGTACGTATGCTGGACACTTTATTTGATGTGGTCACCAATAATTCACGCACATCCGGACAATGCGACATAGACAGTCCCGACGATACTTACAGCCGCTCCATTGCCGACCAACGGATGCCAGCAATTTCTTATACAACCCGTGCTCGGGTCGCATTAATGGATCCGTGGTCGGATGCTCATTACTTTACTGCCGCCTTCCCCACCCTGTTTCCGGAGGGGGTCGGCGGCCATTTAGATGAGCGTGCTATCCCGGTGTCTCTGGGCTCTCTTGCTGAGTGGGCTCTAAATCACCATAGCAGAAGGTGAAAGGACTTGGTGCAGTGTTTTTGCGCCTAAGCTAACAATCGCAGGTTTGCCCTCCACAAGACTTTTATGTATCTACTATTCGACAACTTGCAGCTTCGGAGATCGTCCTTAGGCAATGCGTTCCTGGTTAAACGGCGACATTGGAGCTCTGCTGCACATGACATCGCCTCCTTGACCGTGGACCAGCTGCGAAAGGCCGCAGACGCCATATCTTCTGGCCAAAAAGTCGATGACCCAGTTATTCGGCGCCTTCAACAACACATTCTAACTATTGGTATGCATGTTCCTGGATCTTTCTCCCAGAAACTGAGGATGCGCTCTGAGATCCGAGGCTTGATTATTCGGTATGGAATGCCTGCCTTCTGGATTACCATTAACCCCTCGGACTTACGGAATCCCCTTGTCCTAAGTCTGGCGGGCGTAGAATTCCCTGGAGCTATCCCGGCAGGAACTCACACCGCGATCCGTGACACTGTCGCCACTAGTAACCCGGTCGTGGTTGCTGAGTTCTTTCATTGCATTTGTAAAGCAGTCTTACGGGGCCTACTTGCCACTGGGACTGGCCAAGTCGGCATCCTTGGCGATCTGTCAAATCATTATGGAGTTGTGGAAACCAACGGCCGAGGTATGCTGCATATGCATGCCCTTCTGTGGCTCAGAGGTAATCTTGCCTTTACCGCTTTAAGGAATCGCCTTGTTACCGATATTGAGTTTGCCACTCGCATGATCCGCTACCTCGAAGCGACTATCGTCCAAGGAATCGACGAGACTATTCCGCATGACCCGGATATACCCCTTCCTAGCAAACCACCATCGGCAAAGGAGCGGGAAACCGACGCTGATTTCTTCCTCAGATTGTCGAACGACAGCAACTCCGTAGCACAAAAAACCCAGATACATTCCAAATATCACCATTCAACCTGCTTCAAATACCGCCAGCGTGGTTCGGGCAAAGATGCTTGTCGGTTCGGCATGCCCCGCGATCTGATCCCCATGTCCAAGGTAGATGACTTTGGCTTGATCCACCTCGCACGCAATCATCCCTGGATTAATCCGTGGAACCCCACCATTGCTAGCTGTGTCCGCTCTAACCACGACATCTCTTGGATCCCGACAGTGTCCAAGCCCTTGTCTTTGATCTATTACATCACCAATTATACCACGAAGGACGACGTTTCACCATGGCAGATTGTGGCAAAAGCAGCCCTGTTGAAACAACGAATTGACAGAGCACACGCAACCGAATCTCCAACAACAACCGATCTGCGGCTTCGACAGCAGGGCTTGGACAAATTTGCACTTCGCTGCTTCAATACCCTTGCACATGATCGGGAGATCAGCGGCGTCCAGGTGGCAAGCATTTTGCTCAACCTACCAACTTACTACACAGTTAGCTACAACTTCAACCGCATCAATCTATGGTGGCTTAGACGGTATGTGCGTCAGATCATTGAACCTACTAATGTCGATAACGGTGAATCATCCAGTCCTATGGACGAAGAACCCTGCGCATATGAAGCTGGCAGAACTGCTCCAATCAGCATATTTGATAACTATAAATGGCGTAGGCCATATCTTGCTTGCCTCACACTCTTCGAATATTGTATGCTCGTACGACCCAGGCATGTCCGAGATGCGATTGTAGACGACCTCTGCTTTGACCTGCCACACCCTCAAAGCAAGACTCATATGCAACGCCTGGCTCGCGACTCATCACAGGTCGCCACTGTCAACTTTAACGGGCAGCTAACTGAGTTTCAAGCCTCAGAGGATGCCGTCCCTGGAGGCCATCCGAAAATGGTCGCAAGTATGAATGACCTGGCGGAGATATTACTCGGGTTATTTGTTCCTTGGGATCGGTTACCCGTACTTTTCCAGGAACATGCCGTTGCCGTAGAGCCGAAACGGAATGCTTGCTCTCAAATATGGGCTATCGTTGAGCCCACCCTCCAGCCCTATAACCGAACCTTTGCGGGGAATATTGAACTGCTGCGAAAGTCCAAAGAAGACGGCGAGGCTGATGCGAAGCTTCGACAAGTACCGATTGGAGTTGACTCTATATTCGACCGCGATCTTGATGAGCTTGGAACAAGTAACTTTGACTCTGATGCTGACGAAACCATCGACAATCTGGATGAAAGTGTGGATGTCGAGACTCTAATCGCCGCCTATCACTCCGTCACAAAGACTTGGGACCATGAAATTCTCATCACTGAGCGACGTGTCCCTTCTTTGGTACACACGATCACTCGGAATCGAGGTACACTGCTACAAAACCTTCTACCACTCAATCTCTTTGACATCACTGTGTCTGGGACCTCTGGTCTCAGTTTCTTTTCGTCGTCCACGTTGCAGCAATGGGAATCTCGACTCAAAGAACTTGCCAAACTTGGTGAACTTGCTCCAGTGCATAACGATGCAATAGGGTCAGCGTATAATATAGATGACTTCACTTTAAATGTAAATGATGGCATCTTGGAGCCTACGCTCAATGAGCCGATCGCGATTCCTATCCTACTGGACCAGCGGTCAGTTGTTGACACTTCGAACCCTGCCTCTTTAACTTTGCTCGTCAGCGAGTTTATTCCGTTAAACACCAAACAGCGTCTCGTCGTTGAAAAGGTGCTAAGCGGGGCATTAGGCTGGGCGAACCATCCTTACGATCCTTCGAAGCGAGATCAGACTCTCCTTTATATCAGGGGTGAAGGGGGTGTGGGCAAGAGTCAAATCGTCAAAGCCATTTTGACCGGGATGGATCTAATTCGCCGCAAAGAAGAGGTGATCGTGATGGCCCCCACTGGTGCTGCAGCGGACAACATTGGTGGTAACACGTTCCACACATCTCTGGGAATTTCTATTACCCGTAATCAAGGACATACCATAACTTCTCGCGTGAGAAAGCTCTAGTCCCGGAAAACAATTATGATCATTGATGAAGTCAGCATGCTGGATCTAAGTATGCTTAGTGTTATTAACAAACACTGCAAAATGGCGCGATCCCTCGATCAACGTTCGCCCGACTTATTCGGCGGTTTACCTATAGTCATTCTCATGGGTGACTTTTTCCAGTTTCCACCTGTTCGAGGCCCTGCATTGTGGAAGGAACCAAGAAGGGAGAATGCTACGGACGAGAACGGTCGACTCATATGGCATCAATTCAGAGATGTGATTGTCTTGGACGAGCAGATGAGGCAATCTGCGGACCCCTCATTTCGATGCCTCCTCTCCCGTGCAAGGACATCGACTTTATCCGAAGGCGACCTACGCCTGCTAAACTCTAAGGTCGTCACCTCCTTGGTGGACCCTCAGCTGGACGCTGCGACGACAGTGGTAAAGCTCAATTCCCTTCGTCACCAGATCAATCGTATTAGGATGGAACACTTTGCCAAGGCTCGCTGCCAGAAGATCTACGCCTTCCCTGCTCATCACACACGAACCAAGTCCACTGATCCAACCAACCCTCGCTTGCGTGTCGACGACTTGCTCCGACAACCGGATCAAGGCACTATGATCCCCTTCCCGGGAATATTTCTGTACACACGGAATATGCCTTCAGTCATATTATCAAATATTTGTACTCGGTTGGGACAAGTCAATGGGGCGACCGGTACCGCTGTCGGTGTTGCCGTTGACCCGGCAGGCGAGTAGTCCTCCCTTACGCAGAAACTTAAAATCTAACGCTAAATTGTCTTAGCCGAGTTCTTTAACATTGACGATCTGTATTTCCTCTGCACTAAACCTCCTGCGTGTGTTTTATTTGAACAGGGCAAATCAAGCACGTTAGGTTTCGAAGGTCTTGCGCCTGCTATCGTTCCTGTCTTCCCCCTAGAAAGATCAATCACTCTGCAGGGTTACTCTGTCCGCAGGAGACAAGTCCCTATGTGCCCGGCGTTCTGCCTCACAGACTACAAAGTTCAGGGTTCAACACTTAACGCCGCGATTCTGGATCTTAGAGATGACCCAACGATACGCGGTCGAGACCGCCACCAAAAGTTCTGCTCAACTTACGTACAATTGTCCAGATTACGAACGTCCGAAGGCCTCCATCTTCTGCAGGAAATCGAAATGAAGGACCTCCAATTCGAACCTGATCCCCGCATTCTCGCAGAAATGCAAAGGCTTCAGGACCTGGAGAAAGTGACTTTAGGTGTTTGGAAGCATTCAACTTAACGATTTCGTTTCCCGTATGTAGTACTACTTATAAGGCATATCATCATTTTCGCGCACATTACAGATACCGCTTACACTATCCTTCGAGGCTGCGATCGGTACACAGGCTAAATCTCCCCTTCTCCTGCTTCAGCTTATAAGAATAGAAATATTTTCAGACCTTAACAAACCACTGAATGCTTAGCAAAGACACTACAACTGACAGTTACAACACTCTACTAGGAAATCAAAGCCTATAGTAGTTCTCTATAGATGCGATGATCACTTCTTCTATCTATCATTATACGTTCATATATATGCTATAGGCGAAAGGGAGCTGACCGAAACTACCAATAGTAGATCATTACCCTACACCAATGAGTCTAACACCTCCGCAAATCATTTACTTCCACGTGCTACATGCGTAACTGACAAAGCTTAAAGTAATCCACTAATTTTCTTTATGAAACCAGCGGTGAGATACATTTAGAACATGTCATATTTCTGCTCGTATCTAAAACAGGGATCTCTCTCCAAAACATATCTTACCTAGATAAACAAGAGTCTCTCTTGCCTGCTTCTCCTTCTAACCTACAATCACCCTATAAACCCCGCTAGAACGAGCATACTCTATTTCGGCTACTTTTCCTGGGTGATCTTTATCTACACCAGACAACGTTATGCCTTCAAATTCAACTTACCCGGCTGTTATTCATATTCGGGACTTTGTCGAACATATCGAACCGGACCCTACACGCCCTGGTAAGGGGCAGTCCATGCAGCTCCGTATCTCCCTCAACATACCTTTAAAGGACATTCAATCAGAGGATGTCGAACACGATGAGATTCCCACTCTGATCAGGTTTTTTAATGAGGGTAACCAGCCTGACCTTTATAAGCCAAACACTTTTGTCTATTCCTCAGGATCTTTCCTGACTACTTCTGACAATGATGAGGAATTTCATATTATTATCCATGCTCACACTTTGCACCGGTGAGTTTACCTTATCTGCTACAGAGCTAAATTAACACAACTAGTCATCCGGGAAATGAAGAAGATACTGAAACATATTTCATGCACTGCCCCGAAGCTGCTCAGCCTACAGTGACATTTCTCGGTATTGTTCTTGAACGTGGTGGTGAACTAAACGGCGGGCCAACTCTTCTTCACTACCGTTTCCGGACTACTGTTTACAACAGTTCCACTCGAACCTATCACACCTTCCCAGTCACCGCGTACTTCAAAAACGGTCCGCGATGGGCGAACTTTCCAGCACTAAACATCAATTCCTATGTTTTCTTGACGGGCCGCATTTTCGGCCTCACAAAAAAACATCGCCAACTAGCCGTCGTCACGGATGATATTCATTTCCTCCCAACACCAACCCATCATTTGCCCGCTACCCCATCCTCGACTGGTAAACGGAAGCGTGTTGACCGTTGGTCCCAACGGGCAGGCCCTCAAACCCCGACTAAATCGGCGCCAAGTTCGCTGACCGATCCCCTTCCTTTCGTCCATCCACGACTAGATTTCTCTGCTACAGTCTCCCTTGATGATGAGGATGAGGGCGCTACACAAATTACCTGGCCAGTAAGTGCTGACGAAGACGAACCCTCGCCACCAGCTACCACAGCAGCTCCAGAGACGCGTTCTCGGAGACAACGAAAAACATAATACGTCTTTATACTTGCGCGAAACACGTAAAAATGGTCGTTTAACAGCTTACTGATATTTCTGCCTTCCGAAGCGTTGCGGCGGTTAGTCATGTCGTGTTTGTTCTCATTGGTCACCGCTCACTTGCTTTGTGAAGTGTCTTGTCGAGCAAATCAAAGTCCCATATTCCTTATACTGCCTCATCCCTGCCTTTCTTTTCCATCGTTTCAGGGCCACAGCGTGCGAAAGCGCGCGTCACCAGTTTTATTGGGGTTGCCTCACATTGCCTGTAGCCTCACGTGATATCTACACCGACATTACTGAGGGCCTCTTCCTCCCACAACTGCTTCACGAGAGTCAGATATTTGCCTCTGCGGGCAGCTCGTCATCTCTCACGCAGTCAAGTCTTGATTTTGTCCCTCCCGCCTTCCCTCTGTATATAGAATCCACTACAATACAAACATACTGCCTCCCTTCAGGGGAGCGCGGACGGGCCCTATCTGACGCTACGGTCTACGACCGCAGCAACAGGTGACCCGTTATGGCCAAACTACACTCTTCTTGCTCCTCTTGACTGCGTGAGGTCACCAATAAATATTCATCTTTGACCAATTGAAGAATAGCATCAAAAACCCAAGACCCTTGTTGAATCCCAGAGAATATGATGAGAGTTCAGTGTTACCCGATTTATTATCATTGAATAATTCAAGTCAGACCTTATTCGACGAAAGTGAAATGAAGTGTTCTTTTACATGTGCCATGATTAATACATTATGTGGCACAAGCCGAGACCATAGCCCCAATCTCAAATTAAATTTATCCTTTCTTGACACCTCCCACCCCATCGCGTACAGACGGGCATTCTCCGGAATTCAAATCTCCTGTCAGGTAGTCACTTTCTATTCCTCAGATCATGGTGGTTGATTTCTTTCAACAAGGCGGCAGCCCCAACAGCATCAGCGACAAGATGTGCCACTTTGTGTTTATTGTCACCCAATAGCTGTTTTCCAAGACTGTAAGCACCCATCAGCTCCTCAGCCAAGCGACGTTTGTGGCCAGACTCGGATGAAGAGGCGCTAGAGGAACGAGATGATGAAGAGTCCTGCTCCTGTTTAATCAAGCGACTTTCGCGGACATCCTCGGCGTTGGATATCTGGACACTTTCTGAGCTTGATTGGTGCACATCTGAGTCATGATGTCGGTGTTTTCGTTGGAAAAGTTTGCGGTAGGTATGCAGACCTTCTCCATCTCGACGGAGCAGTTCCAGTGCACCAACAGCCACGGCAGCTCCAACAGAAGCTTTGAATATGTGCGTGTTGGTGGAGTGATCATCAGGTTCGAAGGATTTGACAAGTTGATCCGCTGCATACACTGCGCCGCCAGCGGCGACTGCAGTGGTCGCATGTGCTTTGAAATCATGATACTTGGAGCTGTCTGCCATGGTGAAAGCGAATTGAGTAGGCAGGTGTTTAGGTCGGAAAATTTCAGGTAAACCATATGATAGATAGCATGTGTCTACGACGAAGTTTTATGCTTCCTGACGTGAGCTATTTATATGGCGACTCTCTTGTGTTTAATATACAATTCTCACAATGAATGGAAGCACATGCAGTTTGTTTTCCACCTGATCTGGCGTTTTTGCTAATAAATTTTGACTTGGCAGATACAAGATGTCTCATAATGTGACAATATCTATTGTTGGCTGTTTTCTGTGTTGGTAAATGCAAGTTCCACGTTCTTGTGCTTCAACTTCGCTCTTTCTTAATTTAGGAGAAGACATGATTTGTAACGTAATGTATGAAATCAAGTCTGGTCGGAGACTAGGCCTGGAAATCTCTTTTTTTCGGAATTTGGTCTGTTATTACTTGAACTAAGACACGAGACCCTCCAAACTTTATTCACGATTGCCTCCACAAAACGACTTACTTCGTACCCTATGCATGTAATTTAACGTTTATAATTGCCATTGTAATTTGACTCACCTCGACCGAAGAAATTGATCGATTATCTCCTTTTTGTAGCGTGACTTTAGGTTTAAGTCACGTACTCCAGAATATGTGGCCTTCCATGACGGCACTTCGTACTGCCAGTAAATGACTTGCTGTTCCATTCGCCCGACAACACGATTGACGTGTTGTGCCAAATCGACCGTTCCAGAGCTTTCATACTCTCTATTAAATTGAAGACTTCTCTATCATCGGCCACCCTCACTTGCTGCTCAGGGTTGTTACGTTCTTGTTCCTTAAACAGAAAATGGTCTTCAACTTCCTCTTCATAGCAAGGGAGGGTCGTCTCTGATGTAATTGCCAAAATCGAGCCGATTGAGCCGGTAAAATCAGCGGTGCTCAGTGTGGTCACTGCTCTACTGTGAGGCCACTTATCCTCCATTCTTGACATATTGAATCCTTTATTCTGTTTCCTGGTCTGAATCGAGGTGGCTGTCACGAAATCCTCACTGCTATGCAGGGATTGGACAGCTCTAGCGCAAGGGTCAAGGGGCAATAAACAAGGGTCGGAACTTCCAGTTGCTTAATAAGCAGGCGATGTGTTCCGGTTGCTGAAATTACGTGGAGGCTTCAACTTATATTCTGATATCGTGTGTTGACCCAGTCGCTCGATTTCTGCTTCAGGAACGGTGTAATGATGATTGAACTGCTTTGTCAGGAGAGAGAAATCTGCTTTTGTGTTATACAGCATCTGACCGATTTCACTTGAGCACATGTTAGAGATTTGGGGAAAATTCGGAGTCGATGTGAAGCACTGATCTTCTTCAGGGAAATAGATTCCACCGTCGAATATGAAGAGATATCAAGGTGAGGTGCCGAGACAGTAAACTTCAATTTGACATGAGACTGCGTCATTGGCAACGCTGCTGTTATATGTTCTGTGTCTTGGTCATGCCAGATGGTGACCGAAACCCGTAAAATTTTGAGCATAATTTATCGAACAGAGCAATCGCATCGAATTCAAGGCCCATGTTACTGTAAAAATAGCTTGGCGACAGCCAGTCTTGATGAGGCTATCAATAGGCTTTTGTGACTCGAGATTGTGTGCAAATTAATTGAGAATGATCAGCAGTAACTTTTGCGCAGATGTAAATGATAGACTGATCCACTGTCTTGAAAGTACACAGACATCCTGCTTTCCTTAACGTGCTTCTAAAATTGGTCAATGAGGTGACATAAACTCCACATCACTTCCATATTACGTGCATACATGTATACCTGTGTACCAGCCCACTTGTATCTAATACATTACACAACACAATTAATTCCCCTCAATAATATGAATACCAAATCATCACTTATCAATCAACACAGGTTTGGGGGCGGGTTTTGCGAGGCCTAAGGGGTCTAGACCAGTCCAGGCTTTCAATCAAAGTTTCATGAATGATTGTACTGCAGCCTGGAGCACTTTTTGGTGTCACATTGCTGTGATTTTCGTAAGCTGCCAAGCTAATTGACTTAAGTAAATCAAATATCTCTACTGATGTTTTACATAGCGTCGGAACTTTTGAGACTCTTGGGTGCTGGCTTCATTATTGAACAGGTCGGATGACACGACATACAACTCTACCGATGCTTCCTTAGCCCCCCCAGATAGAAAACAAAGATACAGTTCTGTCTTTGGCGCAAAAGATTATCCATTAATTATGTCTAGTTGCATGGCTCCGAATAAGATTTGTTCGGCCGAGAGGGGTCAGTCGAAGATGATGCTTGGGCAGTCTAAATTGCCACTCGCTCATGCATCTCTTGCTCATTGGGTGTCTCACTTCAGACAGCATTTGGGGGGGTTTGAACTTATTTATTAGTCGCACATGGTAACATAGTGCAACCGTGAATGTCGGTGGCTTGAAGTGACTTACGTACTCGATATGCTAGGCTTTTCCTCGTATTTTCGGAGCCGTGGATTGTGACATGGCGTAATCCACTGGTACTTTGAGCTGACTTCGAATTTAAAATCGACAGTATGTCAATATCCTTGCTAAATTAGTAAAGTGAGACATCAGGTCTTTCCAATCGACTTTTCATTACAAGACCTAGACCATAGTATTCAGATCGGCCTCGGTGGCAATGATGATGAGAGATCGAGTCGGAAGCGACCTGTTGTCAATTGACCCATCTACCCCTCGTCTTTGGCCTTCTCGGTACAAAATGAACAAAAATCTCTCTTTTCCTAATATCTACAGTTTCTCATAGCATCGCCGTCACAAACTCACCCATGTCTGAGGGTTCTAAATATCTTTGGGTGCCTGCAAGCTCCCAGGCCTCGCGAACAATCATCGAACAATCTTCGTACAGAACTACACCTGCTCAATCCAGTGGAGAGCCGACCCCTCCTTGTGGACAACGTGTGCACAAAGTTGTGTTGAGTCTACAGGCAATTAAGAAGGTTGATATGATTCTCAAGAACGAGATCTGTCTCGCTTCACAAAGCTCCGAGGGTGTCGGGGAGTCATCTTTCACCGTCCAAATGAATCGAACTAGCAAGGTCGTTCATGCAAAACAAGATAAAGCTCATTCAGAAAGCGCTCCAGATATTAATGCAGACCAAGATACGCAGAGTCTGCCTGAGAAATCCAAAAGAGCGACACTTCAATGAGGCTATGCGGGATATCACCTGACCATCAGATGTGACGACGACGTCCAGGTACATGGTCCCGTCAACGTGAAACAATACCAGCACTATTTCACCTGATCTTGCTGCAAGTGCCACCAAAAGACGAAACCTACTGACGCAGTTGGGTGAATTGATGGGTGATTGAATATAGCCACATATCTTCTAATATCAGCCGGAAATATTGTGTAAAAATTTATGGTATGGTCAGTAGGAAAAAAAAGAATATGGAGAGATGATCATTCGAGAGCACCGTTGTAGAGCGAAAACAAAGGGAACAAACTGCTTTTAGTTCATCAAATGAGTTTGCCGAAGTAGTCGCGCAGAGGAATTCGATCGCAGCTGGGCAAGTTCTCCAGCGGTCAAGATTATCAATTCCTACTGCCCCATCTTCCTTGGCATATTTTTGCATCAATTCCATCATAATTCTCGAGACTGGTGCCAAGTCACTGGCTTAGATTCTGCCATTTTGCCGGATAACAAAGCAATCGATCCGTGCTGCGGTGCCTAGTTAGGTCGGGTTGCCTTTGAGATACCAGAGAAATGAACGCACCGATTTTAACGTGCCCATTGAGGTTCACGAGGACCCTAGAACAATCCAGATATTTGTGGTAGAAGTTGTTGGCCATGAGAGATGACAGCCCGTCAACGGACTGTACGGAATCAGCCATTTGGCCATCTGGAGGAAAGGTAAGAAGAAATGAGCAACGAACCTGAGACATAATGGCTGCCAGCTCCTGCTCGTCTGGGTAGGCTTTACAATCGACGATATTATCCAGGACGAGAGCGTCAAAGTATCCCAACGTGTACTGTACTGTAAGAAGGAAACCCGCTGCTCATTGCGAGCACCTTATTTACAACATCTCTATCTCTTATAGGCCAGCCGACACAAAGGGCCGTCGTATCTAGTCCCGATTTCCCAGTCAGGAATTTTTTTTACATAAGAAATACACTCATTCATGCGGGCGTTGATGACTCGGTATTATGATCCAAATATGATACCTCCATGGTTGGGAAGATGAATACTTCAGCACCAGTTTGATAGATGAGGCGTATAAGTAAAGATTACACAGGGCCCTCAATTTGATGGGGGTGGTACACAATAAGTAACTGAATATCTGACGAGTGTGCAATCAACAAAATGTCAGCCTATCGCATGAAATTTACTTCTGCATACCGGGAAATGGGTTGCAAGTGTGAGACATGCAAGTGATAGAACCAATTCAAAAGACGGAGATCAACATTAAAACCGTATAGGCTATCAAACTGCCAACCGGTTTCATTATTTATAAAAGAAATTCCGACGGCGCCTTTACAACCAACACTTAAGGACATTTGCATTGAATATAAAAGAAGGGAGGTACCAGAGTGCAGGTCCGGTAACAGATATATTAGGAGTTAATCTAACAGGCAGTCTACGGTCAGGCTATACAGCTTGGATGTATGGAGGGATTTCATTTACCCTGGCTCCTCGAAATTGAAAGTTGGTTATAAACCTCATCCACTAGGCTGAGAACGGATTCGTGCTTGGTATAGTGGTAAAACCTACTCGCGAGGAGTAGGGTAAATGAAATCATCATCATAATCTACTGTAGCTCGTCATCTCTCACGCAGTAAAAACTCGATTTTGTTCCTCCCGCGTTGTATCTGTATATAGAAACCACTACAATACCGACAAAACTCATCGCCTCCTACAAGGGAGCGCGGACGAGCCCTATCTGACGCCACGGCCTAATACCGCAGCGAAAGCTGACCCGTTAGGGCCAAACTATACTGTCGTCGTTTCTCCTGACTATGTGAGGTCATCAATAAACTACGAGGGTATATAAAGATTGGTTGAGTTATTTGATTGACCAAAAGCATGCACGAAGCAAGATTGCGAAGTTAATATTTATAGCGTGTGACAATTCCCAAGAGGCTGAGAGCGATTACCGGCATTCGGAATATCTCAAAACAGAAAAGATTAAACAGAGATACTATCGATTACCGTGTCTATGTGTTCAGTTCGCATTGCGTGAAAATACACTATAGAACTCTTATATATTCACGATCTTGCAGTCTTGTTCCGAAGGAATCCAGGGTCATCCCAAGGAACTCCAAATACGCAGTTCTGCTCCAACGTTGTATCATCCCGATTCTCAAGGACGATGAAGTTGTTTTCCTGGTGGCATCAAATTTTCGGCGTGGAGTTTGCGATTCGGCCAGAAAGCAAATTTTGCAAATACCTATTGTAGTGGGGAAATCCGTTTTCAGTATCGGATTTAAGTGGTCGAAGCCTTATTAACAAGGTGTCTGCCTTGTACTGGGAGATATGTAATATATCAAGTTTAACCATGCTCTCTACTGCATGGTTAAACTTGATTGTTGCACGGAGACCTATTTCCAAGTTATTCCGCCGAAGTTCCAGATCCTATCCATATAAGTAAGTTCCCTATTTGCTTTGTGTACAGTCTCAAATGACTGTTGTACAATCACTTGATCCACCTGGCCCAAACAAAAATTTGGCAATGGAATAAGCCTGAATAAGTTCTAGAAATACAATCAGGTCTGGTGAATGCGCATGGATTGAACCTTTGTCATCTGCCGCAGAGCTTCAGGCCAGGTTAGCGTATCTGCATTGCTTGACTACTTGACACAGAAGAAAAACAAATTCAAGATAAAGCACTAGGCTCATGATTACTTCAGTACACCAATTTACTCATCAACTGTCTTACCAACATGTAAGCGACAGTCCAGTCAGCATACATCCTAGTCGACACGTTTTAGTGTGTGGTCGTACGAAATAGTTCACTTGAATCATCTTATACTGTGATTCTCCCTTTGTTCATTCGCCGAACTTGTCAGAAGATCATACTATTTGATTTACGTTGTGGAAATAAATATAAGATTCAAGCATAGGCACATATTGGGGGTAACCCGCATCTGACCTACTGACCGCTTGAGCAAGGGTTACAATGTAGATCTTGATCAAAGTAACTAATTATTATTTGCGCGACATATTTATAACATAATTCTATTGGCCAGAAAGGAGAACAAATTTTGGATTGTTTATTGAGGTGCTAATTGCCGGAAACATCAATATTCATGAGACTCTAGTCAGAGTTGCTGGTAATGGTTACTTCATACCGAATTGCCACATGAGGAGGTGTGTCTGAGCGACATGAGCCCTTGGATTCCGAGTCGTAACTGGCTGTCGGCGTGTGCCTACGAATCTGGTTACCTACAATAATTCTGACGAAACAACCTACTCTGAGGGTATATCGCGTGGTACAGGAAGTAAGCGCGTGCTATTGCCAAATCTGGATCTCTAGTCACTGCAACCGTTGCTTGACAGAACAGAGGTAGATTGCCATGCACGGTACAGCTAATCCCAGGAAGTTGAGAGGGTCTTTCGTTTCTTTGATACAGTAACCCAGAAAAACATGACCAAAGTCCCCAATCTGGAGTGCACCACAACGCAGTGCTGCTGAATACAAAGTATAAGTGTAAGCTTTGTTTCCTCCGCACTTGTTCCAGTTTATATCAATAACAGGTGGATCGAACTCCCACTGCTCATAGCACCAGACTAAGGGAGAACGTATTGTGAGATGGAAGTAAAAAAAAAGACATAATGTTCGCGACTACTGATTGCAGCCTTCGGCCATTCCGTGTTTGATTGTTAGAGACGATGTAGCCGTCACTCCTCCCCCACCTTTCACCTTTTTCTGCCTTGTTTCACTCGTGCGGAGGCGCTATCGGGTATTTTTTTTTTTCTAAGCGTAATACCGTACTCTACAATCAAGACCCGAAACTTAATATAAATTCCTCGAATACGTAGGTCCATATTAGGTCTGGTATTTTATTTTGATTCGTCTATTTGCGATACCGATATAACTGGGTTATATGAACGGCAACCTTCCCCGGATGCTCTCTTCTCCCTCGAAACTCGAGGTGAAAGTTACTCGTGAACTAGTAATCACATACTTGTTAATTCATTCTATCTGATTCATACGTGGGGCTTTGAAAAGGCGCAAGAGAAAGGAGAAATAGGAAGAGGAAAAGACATCAGAAAACCAGAAAGGACAAAAAGGCTTAACATGGTGAAGAGAATATCGAGTCAAAAGCAACAAATGGAGAGCGGATCATATCAGGATACTTACCCATCCCCTCAGCAAATCATGGAGCGCTCCTGGAGTGCAGAGGAGGAATGCAAATCATGTATCTTCCCAGTCCTCGACGGTGACACGTCAAACGAACCGCACGTCGTGTCGCAAGATATTACTATCTACAGCCTGCAAAAGATCAGAGCCTTCTGCGACAGTAATGGGACCGACCTGACTTCTCTACTCATCGCCGCGTGGTCCATCGTTCTCCACAGGTTTTCTGAAATGGATGTGCTTTACTTCAGTCTTAATTTGTCAGGTGCGACAATTGGCATGACCACTTGTGTTCCTGACAGCGTGCAATTGCTTGCGGTGACAGTGAACCCCGACTCCCCCATCAGAGAGTTACTTCAATGCAACAGCAGTTTATATGCTCTAGACCTTGATTCGAGCCGCATTCACTTCAACACCGGCGTTGAAATCCGAAAGAACAGTACAGGGGGACCACTGCAGCTGAAGCTGAATGACAGAGTCAGCGTTATAGATGGTCAGGTCGGTTTTAGTCTAGACTCAAGGTGGCGGCAATAGACTGACAGATTGCAAGGCCCAGCGATATGACTTGTTGCTTGTCATGGAAATATGTGGTGAGAAGGTGCATATGCAGCTAGAATACAGCACTTCGGCCCTCTCCCACCGACAAGGAAGAGGCATAGCGGGCTCTGTAGCAGAGGCAATCCAGTGCTTTTTCCGGGATCCAGGTCAGATAGTACGGGATGTCGACTTGGTCGATCAGCAGAGTCGGCATGATATATCGAAATGGAACAGTCGAAATATGGCCACTTCCTATCATCGCTCAATAACGGAAATAATCCATGGAAGATCGTGTGCTCAGTCAGACGCACAAGCGATTTGCTCCTGGGACGGCCAGATGACATACGCCCAGCTGGAGAAGCTTTCCACCATATTGGCAGTGCATCTGCAAAAAGCGGGGATTGGAGCTGATGTGATGGTGCCTCTTTGCTTCGAGAAATCTATTTGGGCGATTGTGGCAATACTGGCTGTGCTCAAGGCGGGAGCTGCATTTGTTCCAATGGATGCTTCCAACCCGGTGGCGCGTCTGCAGCAAGTCATTTCGCAGACGCATGCGACATTTATCTTAGTATCGGAACAATACACGACGTTGCTTACAGGGGCCGCAGACCACATACTCACCATCTCTGGTTCCCTTATGGGGCAACTGCAGGATACCGGCCCACTTGCACATACCCACGCGCAACCACACCATATTGCATATGTGCTCTTTACGTCGGGCAGCACTGGGAACCCGAAAGGATGTGTAGTCGAGCATCAGGCTTTAGGAGGCATCGTAAGTCACGGAAAGGCATTACAGATCAGCTCTGGGTGTCGGGCGCTACAGTTTGCGTCGTACAGCTTTGGCATTTCTTTGGTCGAGATATTCTGCACACTGGTTGCGGGAGGGGTGGTTTGCATTCCTTCCGAAACTGAGCGCATCAATGACCCTTCGGGAGCAGTACGTCGGATGTCGGTCGATTGGGCTTTTCTGACTCCTTCTGTGGTCAATTTCCTCAATCCTAAGAGTATGCCCACGCTTAGAACGTTGGCTGTTGCTGGCGAGCCCTTAAGCAAGCGCATTGTCGAGAATTGGGCGGGGGCTGTCCATCTAGTGCCGGTATATGGGATGACGGAATGGGCAGGAATATGTACAGTCCAGCCGCAGATGACACCGACCATGAACGTCCAAAACATCGGCACATCGCCCAGTGCAAACCTCTGGCTTGTTAATCCTGACAATTATGAACTGCTCGCTCCAATCGGAGCTATTGCTGAGCTGCTCATCGAAGGCCCCTGTCTGGCACGGGGTTACCTTGGTGATGCTGAGCGAACAACTACAGCGTTCATCACAGATCCGTCTTGGCTGCATTTTTTCCGACATAACGGGCCGTCTACACTCTATCGCACAGGCGACCTCGTTCGGTATGGTCCTGATGGGACCATCAACTATGTCGGACGCAAGGGCCTGCGGACCAAGATTCGAGGCCAGCGGGTTGAGCTCGGAGAGGTGGAATACCACGTTTGCCGCCACTTCCGCGATGCCGCCAAGGCCATTGTCGAGGTGGTGGTCCCAGTGGGAGGCACTGCGTCTCCAGTCTTGGTGGCATTCGTTAGTTCTAGAGAAGGGAAAGCCCGCGAGCACCAGCATATTCACGGAGATTCTGGCCCTGGTCTAATCCTCGATGATTCTGATCAGGCATTCCGACTAAATGCTGCGACGACGGATTCAGCCATCCGTAGTCTCTTACCTGATTATATGGTCCCGCAGGCTTATATCCCTTTGAAATATGTACCGTTGACAGTAACAGGGAAAGTAAGCCGCCGCACCCTGAGGGAAGCTGCAGGTAAACTGTCTTATGAAGCTTTGATCTCATTTACCGACACCAGAATCAAGAAAGAGAAACCAGGCTCGGACGTTGAAAAGTTTCTCCATCAGCTGGTCTCACAGACTCTCAGTCTACGATCCGATAGTTTTGGCGTAAATGAGAGCTTTTTCCGACTCGGAGGCGACTCCATCAGGGCGATGGATTTGGCGGCTCGATGCCGAGCTCATGATATATCAATCACTGTGCAGGATATCTTTCGTGAGAAAACCATAGCCCGTCTATCCCTATGCGCAAATACGGATGAAACAAGCACGCCAACGCAGTTCAACGATAATACCGAGGCAGCGTTTCTTCTATCTCCAGCCCAGCAGAACATAATTCATGCAGTATCCAGAGGCCAATGTCAACCTATTCAGACAATTTGTCTTCAAATGGAGAGGCAGACTTCTCCTGAATTCATGGAGACCACAATCTACGAGGTTGTCCGACGTCACTCAATGCTGCGCGCCCGTTTTGCCCAGGATGATGAGGGTTACTGGACTCAGAGAGTTGTTGACGAGCCCCGAGGAGCATATGGGTACAGCAACCGCACTGCAACCAGCAAGGAAGCCGTGTCCGACATTACAGCCACCGCTCAGCGAGTTTTAGATATCAAAAACGGTCCTGTATTTGCTGCTTTATATATTCGTGATGACGGAGGCAGTCAGTTTCTGGTCCTTTTCGCCCATGAATTAGTGGTGGACCAGACTTCGTGGAAGATCATTCTGGCAGATATTGAAGACCTTCTGAGCGGAAAAAATCCGTCAGACAGGCCAAAGGCACAGCCTTTTCGGGAATGGTGCTGTACTGAGTTGCAAAACAATCGTGCTCATCACGTTGTTTCCCGCCAGGCTATGGCTTCAAAAGTAGCAGATTCAGCGGTGGACGATTCCCTGGCCACTCACAAGTGCCGCGCGACTGGGAGCGACTTCACGATACCGCCAACGGTTTCGCACTCGATTCTCACCAAAGCGAGTGGAATTCTCCGGGTGGAGCCCTTTGAAATCTTTCAAGCTTTGGTACTCCATTCCTTCGCACGGACTTTTGAAAGTCGAGAGCTGCCTGCGATAAAAGCTCAAATAGATGGACGCGAATTGTACCACTGCTCTGGTGGTGATTACTCATGGACTGTGGGTCATTTTAATACGCATTTGCATGTTAAAGTGCCTTCTCATGGGCAGCCCGATCTTCTAGACTTTCTACGTCAGACGAAGGAGAGCTGTCGTCAAGACCACAACAGAGGGGACACACCGCCTTCAGTCAACGGGGCCGCGGTATTGTCGAGAAAGAAGCCAATAATCCTTTTCACCTTTGCCACACCTACGCAGCGGCGAGGAGCGTGTGGCAGTACTCTGTGGCAACAGGTGTCTTTCCAGGCTGGAGAGTGGCCAGGGTATATACATAATGTCCTGCCTCCCGCATTCACGGCGGTTAATGTTTGCCTCATCAATGATCTCCTGGAAGTCTCTTTTAGTCGAAGCGACGCACTGCCTGACACAGAACTTCAGCGCTGGGCCCACGAATGCGAGCAATCTGTAGACGAGGTTGTGGAAATAATACGGCAGGGGAAGCCTATTTTCATTCCCAGAGATTTTCCACTGCTCGAGATAAGCGTCGCTGACCTGGACTACCTCCTGAATCACCGCCTGCCAGCAATCGGTCTTGACCAGAAAGATCTGGAAACGGCGTATCCATGTTCACCCATTCAGCAAGGAATGCTGCTAAGCCAGGCACGCCAGCCTCAATCCTATCAGTTATTCTTCATTTGGGAGGTCACTGCGGTAGGTAACACTCACAAAATCGATAGTGACAGGCTCCAGGCTGCCTGGGTACAGCTGACCCATCGCCATTCCGTCCTGAGGTCAATCTTTATGGAAAGTGTTTCAAAACACTCATTCATACAGGTGGTTTTGAATGCTGGCGCAGTGCAGACAGCACTCATAAGATGTGCTGATGCTGATGCGTGTGGTTCTCTCTATGCAAACCGGCAGATCTCCAAACAGAGGCGAGAGACGCTACCACGATTCACAGTCTGTGAGACGGACAGCGACAGAGTCTTGTGTGCTCTGGAAATTAGCCATGTGCTTACTGATGCCACCTCAATGGCCATTTTGCAACGTGACCTGACTCTAGCATACGACGACCAGCTCCCTATCTGTGGGAGAGCAAGCTACGGAGACTACATCGCATTTTTGCAAAGTGCATGTGAAGCTCCTGCCGTCGAGTATTGGAGGAAGTATCTTGGTGGCTGTGGCCCCTGCGTATTCCCGCGGCTGCGCAACGCCTCATTATCTTCTGGTGACACCATAGAACTGCAACATACCCATGTGCCACTGGGAGACGTATCTAGGATCCACGACTTCTGTGCTGATACAGGTTTCACAGTATCGAATGTCCTTCAGCTTGCTTGGGGACTGGTACTGCGAGCTTTCACAGGGCTGAACTCGGTGTGCTTTGGTTACCTCGCGTCGGGGCGAGGAACTCCGGTATCTAGAATAGAAGACGCCGTGGGCCCATACATAAACATGTTAATCTGTCGCTTGGATTTCAATGAGTTCAGGACACCCTTGCAGATACTGAGTAAGCTCCAAGTGGATTTTGCAGCGGGATTGACTTACCAGCACTTCTCGTTATCCGACCTTTTCCACTCAATGGACCTCGCAGAAAAGTCGATGTTCAACACATGTATGACATTCTTCTCGGAGGAAAGTCAAGGCAATGACTTGGGAGAAGGGAGTCTGGCGATTCTAGAGATGGAATCTTACCTGCCGAGCGAGGTGAGGAAATTTCCATCAGTGATCCTGAGGGCAAGAAGCGTCACGAGGATCATTACCCCATAATCACACAAGCTGACATTGTAATAGTACGATGTCATGATCGAATGTAGAACAAAAGGCCGTCGTCTGACCGCGGCGCTGCGTTATGAGACGGCGACCGTATCTGAGAGACAAGCCACAGAAATAGCACACAATTTGTACCAAGCGGTGTCTGGCATTATGGAGGGCGAAGAAATCGCCAGAGTATCACTGTTAAGCGAATTAGACCAAAAGCGGCTAAGAGAGTGGAATGGAGAGGTGCCTGAGCGGGTGGAGCGGTGCGTGCACGAGCTGATTGAGGAACGGTGCCGAGCCCAGCCGACGGCGCCGGCTGTGTGCGCGTGGGATGGTGACCTGACATATGGCGAGCTGGATGCACTGTCTTCGGCGCTGGCAGCGCATCTAGTCGAGCGTGGGGTAGGGCCTGAGGTGTTCGTGCCGCTATGCTTCGAAAAGTCGCGGTGGACGACAGTGGCAATGCTTGGGGTGGTAAAGGCGGGCGGCGCGTTTGTGTTGTTGGACCCATCGTATCCGCAGGCGCGGCTGCGGAAGATCTGCCGAGATGTGTCGGCTGAGCTAGTTGTGGCATCGGTGCACAACAGGGCTATGGCGGCAGACCTGGCAGCGCAGGTAGTAGTGGTAGGCGACCACGAGACAGTATGGCGGAAACATATCATCAACTGGGCAGGCTCTGCAGTGGCGCCCGACAATGCGCTTTACGCCGTCTTCACCTCCGGCTCCACTGGCTCCCCCAAAGGAGCGGTCATCCCCCATAGCGCTTACTCCACGAGTGCATTGTCCCACGGTCAACGTCTGTCCCTGTCCAGCCGGTCAAGAGTACTTCAATTTGTTTCATATGGATTTGACGTTAGCATTGCTGACTCATTAACCACCTTAATCTTTGGCGCGTCAATTTGTGTTCCGTCTGACACAGAACGAAGAAATGACTTGGCCCTGACAATCACGAACTACCAGGTGAACTGGGCGCATCTTACCCCGTCGCTGATCAAAATCCTAGAGCCCGAAGCTGTGCCGAACTTACAAACTTTGGCTCTGATAGGGGAGCAGATGTCGAAGGCAGACGTTGAGGTTTGGGCTTCCCGGGTACAGCTGATAAATTCCTACGGACCGGCAGAATGCAGTGTTGTGAGTACTATACTATCAAGCATGAAGCCAGGTACAGACCCTCAGAATATCGGGTACGCAACAGACTGTGTTGCCTGGGTAGCAGACATGCAAAGCCACGAGAGATTAGTCCCGATCGGAGCCGTGGGTGAGCTGCTGATTGAGGGACCAATTGTCGGGCGTGGCTACCTCAACGATCCGGAGCGGACGAAGGCGGTGTTTATCGACCCGCCGGCTTGGCTACGCCAGTTCCGTGGGAGGAACGTTACCGGACGATTGTACAAGACAGGCGACCTGGTGCAGTATGTGGAGGATGGGTCATTACGCTTTGTCGGGCGTAAGGACACGCAGGTCAAGCTCCGCGGCCAGCGTATCGAGCTGGGTGAAGTGGAGCACCACGTGCAGCAGTGCTTCCCGCGGGTGTGCGATGTAGTGGCCGAGATAGTCACGCCGACGGAGGCTGAGCGGCCGCCGCTGCTGGTGGTGTTTATCCAGACAGACAGGCTACACCAAGAATCGCCAGGCAATGCTGCCTCTAACAGCAATATAGAAGATATCCTGGCTGCGCCTACTAATGCCTTCCGCGCGGATATCCCTACTGCCAAGGCTAACCTCTATAATGTCGTGCCAGCCTATATGGTGCCAGAGCTTTTCCTTCCCTTGATTGCTGTGCCGCTGACAGCTACTGGCAAAATTGATCGTCACCGGCTGCGAGACCGGGCTGCCGGTCTGTCTCGAGCAGAGATCGAGGCATACCACAGCCTTACAGTAGCCAAGCGCCCCCCCTGCCACCCTAATGGAGCAGACATTGCAGCGGCTATGGGCGCAGGTATTAAATATCGCGCCCCAAACGATTGGCGCTGACGACAACTTCTTCCACCTTGGTGGTGACTCGATCTCAGCGATGAAGCTTATTGGCGTTGTCCGCGAGGGAGGTCTCGCACTTACCGTGGTCGATGTGTTTCACCAGCCGAGACTGTCGGATTTGGCACGTGTTGCCCAGTCGACGTCGGGGACGCCCTCGCACATCTCCAATCTTCCGTCCCCGTTCTCTCTACTGGAACGCGGTGGCGTGCACGATGCTGTCGTTCAACTGGCCATCGACCAATGCCAGGTCTGTCGCGGCCAGATTACCGACATTTACCCCTGCACCGCCCTGCAGGAGGGTCTCATTGCCCTCACAGCCAAGACAGCGAGGGCCTATATTGCCCACTTCTCTTATCGCATCCCGACTGACACCGAGCTGGTTCACTTCCGAGCTGCATGGAACACGGTGGCCATCGCCAATCCTATTCTCAGTACGAGGATCATCTCGCGCGACCCGCTGGGAAGCTTCCAGGCAGTTGTGCCAGGCGAGCTTCCGTGGGTGCTCTACGACGATGAGGAAACGTATTTGGCAAAAGCCACATCATCATTCGGGCTGGGCGAACCCCTAGTCCAGGCGGTCGTCGTCACGAACCGAAGCTCGAAGAAGGGACCACGGTTCATCCTGACGATGCATCACGCGTTGTACGACGCCTGGTCTCTGCCGCTGCTTCTGGTGCAGGCTGCAGCGGCCATCCGGGGCGACCTGTTAAAGCCCCGACCTTTCAGCCCGTTTATAGCGTATCTCTGCGACTCAAAGACAAAGGCTGATGCGGATGTCTTCTGGCGGTCAAAGTTCACCGAGCTGGAAGCTTCTTGTTTCCCACCGCTGCCGACGCCGGCATACACTCCGAATCCAACCATGTCCGCCACGCATACGATAAGCTTGCCCCACGGCCCGGTGGACGGTTTTACAGTGTCCACCAAGCTTCGGCTGGCCTGGGCTTTGACCCTTTCGCAGTATTCCAATACCAGCGACATCGTTTTTGGACTGACTGTCACGGGCCGTGGGGCGCCGGTGTCGGGCATTGAGCAGATGACCGGACCGACCATCGCCACCGTCCCTCTCCGCGTCTGGCTGGACAGGGATGCCACCATAACTCAGGCCCTCCAGCGAGTGCAGGATCAATCAATCGAGATGATGGCGTTTGAGCAGACTGGCCTGCAGAATATCCGCCGTCTGAGCGATGAGGCGGCGGCGGCTTGCCGGTTCCAAAACCTGCTGGTTATCCAGCCGCGCCAAAGAGATGACATACCGGACCTGTTTACAGAACCGGATATCCTCGCTGAACAAGACGCATTCATGACTTACGCACTTACTATCCTGTGTGAATCCGAGAGCGGCTCGGTGAGCGTACAGGCGACATATGATCCGCAGACGATCACGACCACAGAAGTGCAGCGAATGCTTTACCAACTGGCACATATGATGGGACATATTTATCAGCAGCCGAACAAGCTAATCGGAGATCTGAGCAAGATAAGCCGCGAGGATTGGAGGCAACTGAAGGAGTGGAATGGAGAGGTGCCTGAGCGGATGGAGCGATGCGTGCACGAGCTGATTGAGGAACGGTGCCGAGCCCAGCCGATGGCGCCGGCTGTGTGCGCGTGGGATGGTGACCTGACATATGGCGAGCTGGATGCACTGTCTTCGGCGCTGGCAGCGCATCTAGTCGAGCGTGGGGTAGGGCCTGAGGTGTTCGTGCCGCTATGCTTCGAAAAGTCGCGGTGGACGACAGTGGCAATGCTTGGGGTGGTAAAGGCGGGCGGCGCGTTTGTGTTGTTGGACCCATCGTATCCGCAGGCGCGGCTGCGGAAGATCTGCCGAGATGTGTCGGCTGAGCTAATCATAGCATCGGCGCACAACAAAGCAATGGCGGCGCATCTGGTGGCGGACCGTCTAGTAACTGTGGTGTCTGTTGGGGTTAGTGACACTACATGGCGGGACAGGAGCAGCCTAATTGTCCCGTCTTCCGTCAGCCCAGTGAACGCGTTGTATGCCGTGTTTACCTCTGGCTCCACTGGTACCCCTAAAGGACTGGTTATCCCGCATGCTAGCTTTTGCTCCAGCGTGCTACCATATATGGACGCTCTCCGCCTTACAAGTCAATCGCATATCCTCCAGTTCTCGTCATACGCCTTTGATATTAGCATTATGGATGTCTTCATGTCACTGATAGCTGGCGCATGTGTCTGCATGCCCTTCGAGTCCTCCCGGCAGACTGATATCAACGCCGCCATAGGGGCATACCAGATCAGTTGTGCTAACATTACTCCATCCTTGTTGAGCACATTGACACATGAGAGCCTTCAGGTATTACAAACAGTGGCTGTTGGGGGTGAAACTGTCTCCGCTGCTGCAATGAAAAGCTGCAGTCCACATGTTCAACTAATAAATGCCTATGGGCCTGCTGAATGTTCTGTATCAGCCACTGTTCAGACAAGGCTGAATGAACGCTCAGATCGGGGGAATATTGGCCATGCGATAGGATGTGCATGTTGGGTGGTAGATTGCGAGAGCCATGAGAGACTGGTACCAATCGGAGCCGTGGGTGAGCTGCTGATTGAGGGACCAATTGTCGGGCGTGGCTACCTCAACGATCCGGAGCGGACGAAGGCGGTGTTTATCGACCCGCCGGCTTGGCTACGCCAATTCCGTGGGAGAAATGTTAGCGGACGGTTGTATAAGACAGGCGACCTAGTGCAGTACGCGGAGGACGGGTCGCTGCGCTTTATTGGGCGCAGGGACACACAGGTCAAGCTCCGTGGCCAGCGTATCGAGCTGGGTGAAGTGGAGCACCATGTGCAGCAGTGCTTCCCGCAGGCGCGCAATGTGGTGGCCGAGATAGTCACATCAGCAGAGGCTGGGCGGCCACCGTTACTAGTGGTATTTGTCCAGACAGACAGGCTACACCAAGAATCGCCAGGCAATGCTGCCTCTAACAGCAATATAGAAGATATCCTGGCTGCGCCTACTAATGCCTTCCGCGCGGATATCCCTACTGCCAAGGCTAACCTCTATAATGTCGTGCCAGCCTATATGGTGCCAGAGCTTTTCCTTCCCTTGATTGCTGTGCCGCTGACAGCTACTGGCAAAATTGATCGTCGCCAGCTGCGAGACCGGGCTGCCAGCCTTTCTCGAGCAGAGATCGAGGCATACCACAGCCTTACAGTAGCCAAACGCCCCCCTGCCACCCTAATGGAGCGGACACTGCAGCAGCTATGGGCACAGGTATTAAATACCAGGCCCCATACTATTGGCGCGGATGACAACTTCTTCCACCTTGGTGGTGACTCAATCGCGGCGATGAAGCTCATCAGTGTCACCCGCAAGGGCGGTCTGGCGCTTACGGTAGCTGACGTCTTCCGGTTGCCAACTCTTGCCCAACAGGCCGCATCAAAATTGAGTGACTGTTCAAGGGTTTAGTAAGTTGGAGGGAGTCTTTGAAGGAAATCACTTCAAGGAGTCCTTGGAGGGTACCGTTGATAATAATTAAGGGAGTCGCTGAAAAAATAAATTGTCAATAATTTTCACTTGCTGGATCCCGGTAGGGCTCCGAAAGGAATTAAGGAATGCGAATATTGTTGAGATACCATCTTGGGCCATAAGTTTGAAGACACCGCCTAATCGGGTAATTCTGCCATTTTACCCACCTTACATTCAAATATATATCTTGCATGCAATATGCAATATTATTGCACCAAATTTTGCTATAATATAGAATCATCAATTACAAAATATATAACAAAATTTCAATTGCTAAAACCAAGTATAGTAGCCACGTGCCTTACGAGTCTTGTTTACACGCTGAGGCATCGATCTAATTATACTATCAATTCTATTTTGATCTAGCGCATCCCAGGCCTCCGATATACACTCCCTAAATAGCTTCCAATCTGCCTCAGATGTACCACAATGTAGTAGATTAGGATAGAGCTCATATAATTTACGTTTGAGCATACGCCACACGGGTTCAATAGGGTTGAGATCTGGCGAGCGTGGCGGCCATTCTATAACGTGTATACCATAACGTTCAAACCATCGCTGAGCAACATAGGAGCGGTGGATTTTAGCGTTATCTTGCTGAAATATAGTTCCAGGTTCATAGTGTTCAATAAACCCTTCTTCATGCGCTTTCAGGTAGGGTTTCGTTGTATAACCACCTCCGCAACCTTGCTGTCCTTCTGAAAAGTCACGCTCCATAATCACAAGTTTTGTACGTCCTCTGAGCCATATTCCAGCCCAAACCATTTGACAAATATCCTTCACATGAACCTTAACTTGCACCATTCCCTGCCGGTAAGCTTCTTCTCTAAGCCGGGTAACGTATTGGCCGTTTAAATTAGGAATACGTTGAACGCTGCATTCGTCGGAAAAGATGAAGCTTTGTAGTTGGGAATTGTAGCGTTCAGCCCTCCAATTTCGGCAAAATCGGACTCATTTGCGGGCGTTCTCCCTCGAAATTGGGATACAACGTCTTGCTCGATAGCTCTAGAGGAATTTTGAACGTAGGAATCGCTTGATTGTTGATCGAGATGGATGACTGGGTATACGGGCGCTCAGCTCACTAAGGCTTAGCCAAGACTCACGGCGTGCAAGTAAACAGGTGTATTTGATAGTAGAGTACCTATAGACTTTAGGGGCACCTGGACGAGGCGGTGATTTGAGCGTTTGGTGCTCTCGGAACCGTTTGATTGTAGAGTATGTATATTGTTGAGCGTGCGACGTTGAACTCAGCAGCCATTTTAGTAGGTGATACACCACATTCATGAGCGTATATAATAGCTGCGCGGGCCTCAGATGAAAGCTCACCCCCTGGCCTTCGATTGCCACTTATTTCAGTGCCAAACCGACGCATATTGGTGGTGTAGGGGATAGTTGAAGAAGATGGGTGGGGGGGGGGGTGACGCGAAAATCGCGCTAAAAAATAGCGCGATGTCTTCAAACTTTTGGACCGCCTTTGTATCATCCAATACATCCAGCTCTTGTGATAATAATACTTGAGGTTTTGGATAATACCCTGATCTAGGGGCTGGTAGATAGATGTGGCTGTTGAGTATCGCGGTGGTCAAAGCTTATGGCGGGACTAGCGATGGACATATAAATGATATGTTCTATTCGGGATTGTTGCGGAGAGCCCCTCCCCCTTGCGTCGGGTCCACGATATTCCGTGCTTATAATCGCACACAGATATTGCTCGTATATCCTCTCCTTCGAAAGGAACATTGCCGTTTCGAAGGAGAGTTGGGCTCTCTTCGCAGCGGTTTCTTCTTCAAGAGTTCCTCTTGCAATGGTGCGACATAGTTCCGAGGCCCCCAGTACTACTCCTGGGGGACAGACCACCCTGGGCTCCTCGTTCTATCCACCGGAGTATATTTGGAATTCTCTCTCTGATACCCAACGCGATTCATTTATGTCCACAGTGTCCGCTTCCCTCGTTGCGGGCGACGGGCAGCGTAAGCGCCCACGTATAGATCTCACCACAGAGGAGGATATCGACGACGGTAGGGTTCCGTCTCTTGTTTTGCCAGTCCTCCCCCGCTTCCCCGGTCTCGACCGTGCTGCCATTATAGCCGTTTTTGAACACACCTTCCGCCCAAAGAAGGACCTCATAAAACTTCGCAGCCCCGAATTCAAAGCCTCGGCACCGGATGGCGAGTCCTTCGACTTGAAGTCCACATCGTCTGGCCTGCAATTCCGCAAGGTGGTTTCAATCAAGGACTGGGGCAATGACGCATCCCTGTGGGCCCACTGCTTTAGCAATTATATCGCCATCTGGTGTGATTTCTTCGCTGCCAAGCACTCACTATGCATCAGTGGAATGGTCCTTTTCCACCGCCGTATTTGTGACCTTGCCAGGGCATATAAGTGGCAGGAGTGTATTCTGCAAATGGCCTTAGACCACCATCAGATGGTCGTCGATAAAGGCGACCTTGCCGTTTCTCTTGGCGACTGGGAAATTGGGAAAGCTCTCGAAAGCTCCTACCTACGCCCGGATAACGTGCTCCCAGCAAAGACAGCGCCGACTACCCCAACCACACGGTCAACGCGCTCAACCGCCGCCTCAAACAACGATTCTGTCATCTGTGAAAAGTTCAACTCTTTTGCTGGCTGTCACTGGCGAACATGTCACCGTAGGCACGTCTGCTCTAAGTGTGGCAACGAACACTCTATGATAAGCTGCAAAGTGAAACCAGCGAGTTAGGACCACGCCGCGGTCTGCCTTGATATATTTCAAACGCTATCACCGCCAACCAGCTGGCCAGCCCCGCGTCCCAACACTTCTATTCAGTTTGAGATCTTTGACTCTTCTCTCCCGCCCCTGCGTGATTCTGCTTCCCCTTTTATCAGTTCAGTGTGGGAAACTCTCCTTGAACGATATCCTGGCGATCTAGGGACTATTTGCAGCGGTATTCTCACATTCGGCTGCCGCCTTGGTTGTACGGGCCAGCCGACAGACCGCCGAACATCTAATCACCATATTGAGGAACCCTCTATTATCACCCAAAAGCTCTCCGATGACCTGTCAAATCGTCGAGTGCAAGTTTGCACTGGTCCCGCTGTTGTGTCTCCACTAGGGCTCGTACCTAAACAAGACGGAAGCTGGCGCCGTATCCATGACCTTTCCTACCCGCCAGGGTGCAGTGTCAACGAGTCTATCCCGGCTATCGCCTCTGCCATACAATACATCTCCATAGATCACATTTTCGAACTCACCCGCACCTCTGGACGAGGATGCTTTATCATCAAACGCGACATCAAAGATGCTTTCCGCAATATCCCCGTCGCACCGGCCGACCGGCCTCTCCTAGCCTTTTCGTGGGATAGCAAGACATACATGGAGTGTTGCCTTCCATTTGGTCTTGCAACTGCACCCTTCATCTTTAATCTCTTTGCTGAGGGTCTCAACTGGCTTCTGACTGCCTACTTACCTGGGGCCTCTATCGTCCATTACCTTGACGATTTTATCACTGTTTTTCCTCCTTCTGTAGGAGATGTTTCTCAGGCTATCGCCGAGTTCAATACCGTATACATTCCTCTTACAGATGCACTAGGCATCCCAAGGAATAACACCAAAGACGCCGCGGGTACCGTGGTCAATGTGCTTGGGATCGAAATCGACACAACACTTCTACAGGCCCGCATGCCTCGCGATAAGCTAACACGCGCATCTTCTGAGGCCGCGTCGCTATTACAGCAAAATCGTGTTTCGCATAAAGCCTTGCAACGTGTGATCGGTTTCCTCCAACACTGCTCAATGGTCATTCGTCTTGGCAGACCCCGCCTCCAGTCGCTCTACAGCGACCTCGCATCTTTCCCACCTCACCAGCGCTCTCTCCGCCGCCTATCCCATGATAGCCGCGAGGACCTCGCGTGGTGGACGGACACAATCCCGTTTTTCAACGGAATCCATTTCTTTAAGAAGAGCCGCCCCCCTAGTTGCCCTCTACACAGACGCGTGTGACTCCGGTCTGGGCCTCTTCTTCTTTTTTGCGCCCTCACGGGACTCCGCCGGAGACTGGTTGTCTGCAGCACCTTACCTGCCTTCCACTCACGCCGCTATTGTGGACGCCTCCTCCGTCTGCGCTAGCGAGGCCCACATCAACACCAAGGAGGTTACCGCAATTCTGCAGGCCTTCCTTCTACACAGCCTCCATTGGGCTCATCATCGTGTCCTCGCTTTTACGGACAGTGCCGTCGCGTTCCATGGCCTGTCTAAGCAGGCACTCCGCGGGCCGGCCCATCGCCAACTGCTCATGCTTTTCAGTATAGCAGCCGCCCTTGACATAGAAATCCAGCCACACTGGCTACCTTCATCAGAAAACCTACTAGCTGACGCATTATCCCGTTCCGACTATGGTTCCATCGCTGACATTTGCCCACAGTGGACGAGCTCCTTTCCCTTGCTCCGCCAGCCTGGTTCTCCAGCCAGCCTATTTTCGTGAGTGCTGGTCATGCTAAGCTGGTCTGGAATGGTCTGGCAGAGGGAACAAGAAAAGGGTACCGCTCCGCACAGCGCTCATACACCCGTAGCTGCGCCCTCAATGGATTACAGCCATGGCCAGCAACAGCACCAGCGATCTACACTTGGCTCACGGAACGACTGCTGGGCGCAGGTGGGAGCCCACCAGTGAAGCCCGATACAGCTATGTCTGAGCTCTCAGCGCTCCGCGCGTACCACGTCGACAACGGTCTTTCCGATGCAATTTTTGACCTCCACGCCAAGCATTTTCGTCGTATGGTCGATGGTGCTCGCCGGCTGCAACCCCCGCGCCAAAAGCGGGTTCGCAATCCAATCCCACGCACCTCAATTATAACCCTATCAGGGAATATTTCACATCTACCTGCCCAGCCACTGAGGCTCTCAGGGCCCCAGAGAGACGATCTCAATCTTGCCGTGGCTGCCCGGGTTGCCTTCGCCGGGTTTCTTCGGTTCGGGGAATTTACATACTCAGCTGCTGAGCATAGGAATACGCAAATCTTTGTTGCTACTAAGTTAACCCGGGGGGATATCAGATTCTCCCCTACCATGGACCACGTCCTCCTCACTTTAAAGAGAAGCAAGACCGACCGAAACCACGAAGGTGTTAATATTGTCCTTGCAGCGACAAACGACGCGGCCTGCCCCGTTGAGGGACTTTCTAAGCTATTCCTTCATGATTCACAACCTTCAACTGCTCCTTTGTTTACGCTCTCCTCCGGGCCATTCACCTCAGCCGCCTTTCAACGCGCCGTTATCTCCAAGCTCAAACGCTCTGGGGAAGATACCACAGGACTAAAAGGTCATAGTTTCAGAAAAGGGGCAGCCCAACACGCCCACGATTCGGGCCTGAGAAGTGACCACATTCAAGCCCTCGGAAGATGGTCTTCCGAAGCTTTCCGTCTTTACTTCACGACGCCCCCAACAACACTGTACACCTGGAACCGTCAATTCCAGACCGGTCATCCAACTCCGGTCTCCTCTTCCTCACCACCAGCCCCTCCACCATCCTTATTTGGCCCATCGGGTCATTTGGGCCCGCCTGCAGCCCTCGCGGCGCTGTAGTCTTCTGTCAAGGAGACCTACATCACCATGTTCGGACTGCAGGTGCCCCGTACGGGCCAAAAACATCTCACGCGTCTTCATTGTAGCAATGGTTGGAATAGATGATATGTTCTATTCGGGATTGTTGCGGAGAGCCCCTCCCCCTTGCGTCGGGTCCACGATATTCCGTGCTTATAATCGCACACAGATATTGCTCGTATATCCTCTCCTTCGAAAGGAACATTGCCGTTTCGAAGGAGAGTTGGGCTCTCTTCGCAGCGGTTTCTTCCCGCCCACCGCGGAACCCTCATGTATGTACTAAGTATGCTTCCGCATAGCTTTACTTCCTCCTGAAATATACGGAGTGCTACGGGCCCGCCTGCAGCCCTCGCGGCGCTGTAGTCTTCTGTCAAGGAGACCTACATCACCATGTTCGGACTGCAGGTGCCCCGTACGGGCCAAAAACATCTCACGCGTCTTCATTGTAGCAATGGTTGGAATAGATAGATATATTCCCACTTTTGATAGTAACCTCAACAAGAACACTACAACTACCTATCTCAACACAGGTGAAACGCGTTCCACCGCGGTCAGCTAGAAGAGTCGGCCGGAAATAGCATCATGGACTCGACCCAACAAGCCGATCACGTACAGCCTCGAGTTCATGCCACAGAGTTTGTCCTCGGAATATAATAGATGCACGCACAAATTTTGAGATAAAGCCAATTCTTGTTGACAACTGGGGTGTGACTGTTGCGCAACGTTGAGCACCAAATGTTCACGATGCGAAGTCGTCGCAAGGCCACAGCGGCGGAGTTTCATGCATCACCCTAAATCCGCATGTCTTCGATAACAGCACACCGTTTTGATGACCAAACGACGATGGTCAGGTTTGTAACAAAGCCCGGGAAAACCCCTAAATTTCGGTGGAAAGGATGGCGCAATGAGCTGTACGGTTGGTGGGGTCAGTATCACTCCCCCATCAAGACCCTTTGCTTCATTCCATCTTGACATGATGCCGTTTGTTACCGTTATCCACTTGGCCATGCATTACCGTTCCAGCTTTATGTTCCAGGAATAGTGGTAGACCGCGTATAAATAGCCGATAGAGCCGGGATTCCAAGAGGCACGCCCAGCGCAAAAAAATGGCCGATTCCGCGGATGTTGGCTCCAGCGACGATAGCTGCGAGATGACGGAGGCGAATCAGCAGCTAGAAAGCGAACTCCTTCAATGCCAGCAAAGCACGCCTCCGGCTATTGTGCACTTACGACGTATGATTTCACTCGGGATCTCGCCTCACTATGTGAGTCACTGGACCACTGCCGATGCATTCCGAGAATTATATCAGAATTGGTACGTATCCTCATAGAGCTGTTAACGATACGATATCGGCACTGTTTTCCCATATCGTCAATCGGCATCGTCAACTTCGAAGTCTGCCGATATCGTATCGGCAATCGACATCGACAGTTTTTTGAACTGTCGATACGATATCGGCAAATGATATTATCGTTGGCGATATATCGTCACCGGTAATTGGACAATAGGGGAATAGCTCCTGGTCCTAGATATAGGCAACTCTACTACAAAGAGAATGTAAGCTTAGATACTCGTTAATTAAAGCAATCCGCCTCCGTTGTGCAGTCCTACGTTGTGTTGTTTTCGTACTGTGTGGCTATACAGTCAACTCTCGTGGGCTGCACGCCCTCCCGGGCAGAGGTTTTCCCTTGCACACACCCAATGTGTGTAGCCCATGAGAGTATTATGTCATGATTATATAAGATATACATGAAGCTTTTCCCATTTCGGTTTGAATCTTATCTCATCCCATCTACCTCAAGCTTCTCGAATGCATTGCTTACAGCCTCAATTAACGCTATATTATCCTCTGTGCGAAGTACAACCCTTCCTATGTGCAGCTCATAATGATAGATCTAATTAATATCTTAAAATCACCACATCAGATGGAGCCCCTGGTCCTGGCCCAAACATATATATCTCATGAAGATATGCCTCTGGCATCCAATTAATTATTCCACCGAATTTCTCTTGAAACATACTACATAAGCTTTCTGGGTAGGCTTAGACAGTAGATCAAATACAAAGATACGCAGGGCTTTTCTCTGAACATCAGTTATAGTCGCATTTGATTGTTTTGGATGGGATATCTTCGCTGAAAGCACGACCGAAGATCAGACGGAAGGGGCGGAGGGAGAGGCAGCGAGGTAGAATCCTGCATTATGATTGGTCGGGTATGCTGAGTAAGCGAGGATAAGGGGAAAGAAAAAGTGTGCAGACCATGAATGGTGCAGCCCACGAGAGTTTTACATGTAAAAGTGGGGCAAATATAGCCCGGGCACGGGAAAAGTGTGCTGCTAACAAATGTGTGCACCTCACCGGCGTGCAGCCCGCGAGAGTTGACTGTATATTTATATCTTTTACTTTGCTCTCCCGTCCTATGAACTAACTCTGCTACTGCACAGTACATGTTGAATCCGTGCTAAGTTGCTTCCATTCTTCTACGCATACATGAATATATAAATATATATATATGTTACTTCGTTGGTCTTTTCCTGCCAACATACTATCATATTACCTGGTCTATTCTATGGCTATACCTTCCTTCTTCCGTTATGCTATATGGCAGATTATCCAGAGATCATAAGGGTTCAACCCTATTTTATGGTTCAACTCAGTTTAGACGCGACGCGTTTCAGAGGCCGGGACGCGTGCCCCGGCCTCTTCGTTGACAGTGACCTGTTCTTCCAGAAACTAACCAACTCCACATATGACTCTTTAGCCCTGATTCTACTGAGCCACTGGGTCCATATCGACAGTGAGCTGCAACCAGCAAGCCGTATTCATTCACACTGCACCAGTGGCCCCGTGAATCCAACACAAAATGCGTACCCGGCAGAAACGCCTCAACTACCGAGTTCTGAATGATGAGAGCGATGGAGAGTCTTTGCCCGAGGATCAAACCGACCAATCAAGCGAACCAAGCGAGCCGCCGTGCAACCACACACGTACTCTCCTAGCCTGTCAAGAAGACGCGGTGATCCTCGCCAACATACCAGATTGCGAGCTCCTACCTTCCGAGTCTGTGTCACAAGTGCTAGTATCCCAAGAGAGCTCAACAGACGCTGATACTTCAATCACTGGTACTTCAATCACCAGCAACATATCTTTTCAATGCTCCAAACGGCCAGCGCCTGCTACAGAGTGGATCTGGGGGTACTTCGAGACTACAGCCGTTGATTGTCCATGGGTTATCAAGAGGACCAACAAGAGGAGGCTGGTCGACCGAGAGATTTGCTGCATGCATGTAGATGAGAAAACGGGAACACGCTGTGACTGGCATACGTCAGATTCCCAGCGGCAAAATACAACCAGCAACATGAAAACCCACTTGGTAAAGCATGGAATTTACTGTCCGACCTCCAGTATACAGCCAGCGAAGAAGGGACCAGACATTCGGAGTTTTATGGGTGGTAAACAGAGTCTCACCCATCAAGAGGTCTTGGAAAGGAATACCATTCGCTGGATTGTGACTGATATGAAAGCTTTCGCCACTGTCGAGTCTCCAGAGTTCCAGCAAATGTTCCGAGACATTCCTGGGATTGAGCCTCCTTTTACTTCTCGCCATACCTTGCGGGATCGAATTATGCAAGAGTTCGCCATACAGCGCACTAACCTGAAGAATGAGCTGACTTTGACTTGCAAAACCATTGCCTTATCTCTGGATATCTGGACAAGCCAGAACCATCTTCCTATCTTAGGGATAATTGGTCATTGGCTGACTGACGAATTTGAGTACCGCGAGAGATTACTCGAGTTCGCCGAACTCCAGGGCAGTCATAGTGGCGAAAATCTGGCAATTGCAGTGGAAAATATGCTTATCGAGTTGAGTCTCGAGGACAAGCTCATTTCCATTACAGGCGACAACGCCAGTAACAATGAGGCCATGGCCTCGGAGTTATACTTCTCCCTTTCCGACCGACCTAGGGTAGAAGACGCAATGCAAGCACCACTTTATCGAGGTCTTGACAGCTACATCCGCTGCCTGGCTCATGTCCTCAATTTGATTGTGAAAGATATCCTCCGTAACCTGGGGTCAGGGACGATGGAACAAGCGCAAGTTGCCTGTGACCGTTTACAGACTGGTGACTCGATCACCGATCAGTCAGCTATTGGGAGATTACGGGTCTTCGCTCTTTGGATTAACCGAAGTCCTCAGCGCCGACAGAAATGGAAGGAGATTTGCAGACTCAACAATCTTCCAGACAAGTTCGTTGCATACGATGTGACGACACGATGGAACTCAACATTTCGCATGATCGACGATGGCTTGAAGTCAAGGCAACAAGTCAACAAGTTCCTAAACCTTCAGGAGGAACTCCCGCCGTTCACTCTCCAAGATTGGTCACGACTGGAGCAGATTCACGCAGTACTCCACAAGTTCAATGAGCTTACTTTGTTCATTTCGAAACGCAATCCACAAATCAGCCTCGCAGTCCCAATTTATTATGAGCTACACGAATTGCTTGATGACGTGAGGGAGGGCAATGGTGACTTCGCAAAACTGGATCGAGATATTATAGCTGCAGTGAATGAAGGGATGAAGAAATACGAAAAGTACTATTCCATTATGGACGACTGCGACACCTACTACACTGCCTCGTCTTGGACCCCCGAGTCAAAGGCGAGATGGTCTTACGGGAACTTCGAGATGGCAATGCAGGGACAATGATTCTGGAAACGATCCGCACCAATCTCCATCAGGTATACACGGCTAGTAACCCGGAGCATGATGCCGCTGCAACACAGTTGTCTTCCCTGAAGCATAGTGATGTGGAGTCTAGAATGCTGAAGAAGTTGCAGGCGCGAGATCCACCGCTCTCAGATATTGATAAGTACTTCGACACCCCTCCGATCAGCGTCGCAGATACCACCGGCCAAAACTGGCTCTGTAATTGGTGGAGGACGCACAAGGGCGAGTATCCGCGGATGGCAGCAGCAG